TAAGAGGAAGTCGTACCAGATTAGGGGGAGCTGTACATTTCATGATTAGTGACTTATAAGAAGTCCACAAGAAGATACATAGAAGAGAATGGCATGTGACCCCCCCCAATTGCAAGACAGAGATATCTATGAAGAATGGGACATCCCCCAATGCTAGGAGAGAGGCACAGAATAGATTCTACCTCAGATTCCAGAAGGAGCCAACCCTGACGACGTTTTTATTTTGGGCTTCTGGCCACCAGACACTACATGAGAAAAAATGTCTGCTACGTTAAGCTACCAGGTTTGTGTGCTTCGTTAAGGCACCCTTGGAGCAAGCATATGAGCCTTCTACATCACTGGCCCTGTGTAAATCTCTGTCTTGTCTCCCTCTGTTATGCCTGTGGAGGTATAAAAATCAATGAAGCAAATCAGATGAGGCTAAAATGACTCATTGAGTGAATCATTAGGAATCATCTTTTGAGTTTACTGTTAGGTTGGGATAGTTTTTTTTCTTTTTTCCCCAGTAGTTGGAGTTGAACCCAGGTCCTTTGCACTGAGCTACATCCTCAGCCCTTTTATTTTTTTTTTCTTAGACACAGGATCTTGCTAAGTCACTAAGTTGCCCAAACTGGGCTTGAACTTTCAATCCTCCTGGCTCAGCCTTCCAGAGTGCTGGGATCAAAAGCATCACCATCATGCTCTGCTAGTTCTTTGTATTTATTTGTTTGTTTATCATTCCAGTGCTGGGGATGGAGCCCAGGGCCCCCCAGTCAAGCACTTTCCCACTGAGCTGTTCCCTCAGCTGGAGAAGTTCTTTTTAAACAGAAAATGATGAGAAAAGACATGATATTTTTATCCTTGAATTATCTTGTTATAAAAATCAATGATTTATTTCTCTTCTCTGCCTGCTAGGTCTTGCTTCATCACGTGCAGTGTTTCCTAGTGAAAAGAGACATGTTTTGGGGTTGGAATGTGAGCGTGGTCAGGGGCTGAGCGAACCGAGCAGAGTGAAGAAGGCATCACAAAGGGTGAACAAAGTGACGCTCTGTAGCTCTGTAGCTAAAATGACTGTTCTAATAGCTTTGCTCGCCTCTACTACCAACCATTATTTTGGAGTGCCATACCTTTCATTTCAGCCACAGGGCCCACAGACAGACATCCAGTTACAACAAGTCTCCCAGCTCCCACATCTACTCTGCACCTGCTCCTCCCCAGGGGAGACTGGCTGTCAGTCAAGGACTCTCCTGTACCCTGGCTGGTTTTAGCTGGGAGTCAGCCGCAGGTTGGAGATGGCAGAGCAGAAGAATGAGGTGGTGGAGATGTGAGATTCATCACTGCAGTGCCTTTCTGCTGAGTCCCTCTCCCAAGATCACAGCCCCTTTCACGAGCCCTCTTCATGTATACCTGCCTCTCCAGGCTTGCAGTGAACACTCCCTCTTCACCACCTCCAGCTCCAGGGGACTAGACCATCTCTGTTCCTTTAAAAATCACTGTCCATGTACCTGTTAATAATCAATTAAATTCTTCTCAGTACCTCAACCTGAACACAACATCTATATCCTGCTAGAGCTAGAAATAGTAACTGTTACACTTTCTACTATTGCTGCCTTGAGGCTTTAATACATCTCGTGTCAACGGCAGATTATATATCTAACTACCAATCCCACTGCTCTTGCAGCTTGCCATCAGTGCTAACAGAAACGTCCTCTGAGGGAGATTTGGCTGTGCACCGCTTTTGGCTGCAAACAGGCATGGGTGCTGGTCACAACTCTGCGATGGTGTGATTCATCCAGAACTTCTTTCTAAGCCTCAATTCTCTCATCCATAAAATAAGCATAATGGTAGTTCCTAGCTGCTACGATGGTGGTGCAGATTAAGTGTAATAATGCCACGTAAGTCATTCAGCACAGTCTAGAACATGGAAACTGGTCAATGAATGTGGGCAATTTTGTTATGCAAGAAAAGGAGCAGTATCCCCACCCTGCTGACCTGCTGACCACAGGAGAGCACTGGGCTGTCAGATCTGATTCAGTGCGGTCACATTTCAGACGAGCAGAGTACTGGAATGCCAGGACCCACACAATGAGGCCCAGGGGCTGGGGCTAGAGAGTGATGGAGCCCTTGGGCCGTGCAGCCTCCACCTGAGGCCTTGCTCCACGGTTGTTGGTCTCAGCCTGAGACTGCAACCACCAGGGACCCTGAAACACACACTGCAGGCTCCTCCTCTGCTGAGCTTTGGCCTAGACCCAGCACTGGAACCATCCTGGTGGGGGCAGCCCTGGCTCTGCCCTGTAGCCAGCCCTGGTCTGGTTCATAGTCAAAGAAGGACTGATCCATCAGCCTCCAGAGAAAGGAAAGACCTAGAAAACCCCAGCACCCAGTGGCTGACATGGACCTTTGAGCGGGGTTGTGGTCCCAGAGCAGATGTGGCAATGTCCATTCACCTGGGAGAAAGGCTGGACCTAGCTTTGCGTAACTCATTACCGTCAGGGACACGCAAGCCGTTGGCTGCTGCACAAAGTCAGCGTCCAAGTCCAGTGTGGAAGCACAGAGCCTATTCCTGCCTGGAGATGCCCTCTCCCTGTCCTCCCCGGCCAGCTCCTATCTGGCTGGAGGAGTCTCTAGAAGCTTCTCTCCTCTCACCAACTCGCCCCGCCTGTGCATTCGTCCATTTATTCATTCACTTACCCATTCCATAAATATTCCCCCGACTCTCTCAGAGGATGATTCCATTCATGATTCTGGGGAATCTCCTAGGACAAAGCCCCTCAGCGACCCTCTGGTGCAGCCAGGAGTGAGACTCACTCTTCTAAACATTGCCATCCTGCAGTGGCCCCACATCTCTCCCACTTCTATGTCATTTTTGTAGAAACTGTCCCTCTGCCTATAGGAAGACAGAGTTATAAGCGTTGACAATTCCCTTTAATGAAGATAAAACTGAAGGTGGCCGAGGCAGGTTGCCAGCATGGGGAGGAACGCCTGGCCCAGCAGCACAGGTGACGGCCTCGTGTCTGCTTTGTCAAGAGCGCTGTCCTGGAGGGTGATGGGGAAACCAGGCTGGCTTAGGCTGTCCAGAGTTTACTGGTCTGGGGGGAGCTGCAGGGTCATGCAGTTCCTGCCTCCCAAAGCTCCTGCTCCAGGCTCTTCCCAGGAGGACAGTGAGGTCTGTGTACGGATGCTGCCACCCAGTGGCGGATGAGGCATGCCAGCCTCATGACCCTCAGGACAGCCACTCTGTAGTTAAGAGCAAAGGGTAGAGCAGATCTGAAGACAATCTCAACCCTCCCTCCCTCCCCCAAGCCTCCCAGACACGCGCTTGACAACTTTGGATATTGTGCAGTCGGCTGTTCCTTCAGTAGCCCTGACAGGGCCCTGACCTTTTCTTTAGTCACTTCCTATAGCAATTCTCCTTTCAAGTTCTTTCAAGACAGAAGCAAACTATCATTTTAACGCCTCAATATCTGTGAAAAACCTAATATGGATATGCAAATGGAAGAGAAAGCTCTTTCAACTTTTAAAATAAAAACTGAAGTATCAGGTGACAGCCCTCCTCCTCCTCCCAGTGAGTGGAGCACCTCTCCTGGAGAGGAAGAGCCTTTGGGAGGCTCCACATGAGTTCTCAAATTCTGGGACAGCATTCTGTGGCACTTCTCAGCGATCAGACTCTCGGGCCGGATGCCCTCCTGGCCCCGTCCTGCCAGTCGGCAGTCCCAAGCATGTGGTCTGGTGTCCACAACTCCAGAGGAGTCCAGTACACATGTCTAGTCCCTCCTTCACCCTTCCCTCAACCCCTTTGCAGTGTCTGGGCTGTGTGGGAGGGGCTGTGGCATCCGCAGGCTGCTGTGGGGACAGTTCTGCCCCAGCTCTGTGTGGCCTTGGGAACCTGCCTGGGCTCACTGGGCTCCAGTTGGAAACACTGGGAACAGACACTAAGATTACTGCTGACTCTTACACACACGTACACACATCTGTACACACATACACAAATGCACACACTTGCACGCAGATACCCCTGCCACACTCTTTAAAAGATATGTGACCCCAGGGTCACCTTGTACTGAGTTGGAAGTCTGAGTGTCTACATCACATTTCCTAGTTAATCGTGGTGCATAGGATTTCAAGCAGCTTTAGCCCTGCTTTTCAAGGCAATCCATTTAAGGTGAAGTGGCCAGGCAGACGTGGTCACAGCACAGGTGTTGCCTCAGATTCCAGTTAGACCCTGACAGTTCGCCATATGAACCTGGGGACCTTAATCTCCTCAGGCCCAAGATTCATAATAATACCATGGATCTTCCATGCCAACCTGTGACTGTTGAGTTGTTTCGTGTGAAGAAAGAAAAAACATGCCTGTCTTAAAGTACTGTTTCTGGTCTCTGCTGTTAGTTCTGTAAAGAAAGGAAACTCTCAAAATGTCAAAATTACCTTAGAAAATCTATTAAATCCCTTCATCAATAAAGCAGCAAGGCATAAGTCATGAAAAGTCTTTCATTCTTAGGGCCAGTCACAAAAATAGACTACATTAGGCTCTCTCCTTGCATATTTACCTTTCAGAAGTCATCTACACTGCTTTCAAAGGTTATAAGAAAAATACTAGGCAGAACCAGTATAAGCAATCCCAATAGCAACACCCATGTGTACCTGACTCCAGGACCTTAAACTAACATTCTAGGACTTCTTCATAGTTGTTGAACTAGTGGTCAGCACAGACATCCTGACATCCAGAACAGCATATTCCCGGTAATTGGGAAAACTTCAAATCATTCACACCATCTCCCCAGGGCTTGTCATTGAGCCAAGTTGGATTCCTTCACGTTGAGTTACTGAGGCAGAATTGCATTGTATTTGCTTTGCTTTTCTCTTTCTATTGAATTGATGCAATGCTAACATATGTCCAAGGTTAAGGCAGTCACTTGCTGCTGCACAGATTCGCCAGTCTGTAGGTAACAGAGAAGAATGGCAGGCACAGAATTCTGGAACTCAGGTGTCCCAAGGAATGTTACCTTGCTGCTAAGCTGTGCCACGTATCCTAACAACGGGAGCCACAGAGGCTCCTTGAAGTGAAAGTAGGAGAAACTGGAGGGAGGCAGGTACATTTTTTTGGAGACTTTGGTCATTAGTCTGTTTCTCCCAATCAACATTCCCAGGTTTGTGTAAAGCTGGAGGAAGCAAGGAAAACTTGGTCCAGACCCTTATGAGGCTGGGAGGGTCCTGTGAACCAGATCATCTCCTCGTAAAACCATCCACAGGTGTAATTTAAATTCAACATTACATATTTTTCTATACTTTAAGGTATGATTTACTTAATGGCCCTCAAATTCATCTTCTTTTTAATACATTTAAAGCAAAACAAAAGTCTAGATGAGAGCCATTGCTCTCCCACACGGCTCTCTCCTTCAAGAGGAAGGACTTTCCTCAGGCAGGGAGTCCGGGTGCTTCCCCTCCTCAGAGGAGAACGCATCCGCTCCATGAGCTATCAGTCATGTTTTATTCTGTGATTAAAATCATACAATTTTTCTCTAGCAACAGTTCTGTACCTGTTTCTTAGAAATATTTTATTAAATATCTTCAAATTACAAGAAACAAAATAAGTCTGTTTTAAGGAAATAGGACATTACAAACATTTTATTTGTTTACTGCAGCCTTGAAAATTGAAGTTTAAATCAGACTTTTAAAAGAACACCGTCTTTAGCCATTTGAGTGGCTATAGCAAAGTACCATAAGCTGGGTATGGTATAAGCCAGAGGAATGTATTGCTCTGCATTGTGGAGGCTGGGAAATCCAAGACATGGCCAGCGGATCCAGGGCCTGGTGAGGGCTTGCAGCCAGGTTCCAAGATGCACCTTGCCCTGCTTCCTCATGGGGTGGATGGAGAGGGCAGCTCTCAGGGGCCCCTTTCCAGTCACTAATTTCATTCTTGGAGGCCCATCCAAGGGCCCAATGACCTCCCAGATAGTCTTCCTCTCAATCACACTTGTTATTAGGGTTCAGCATATGAGTGGGGGTGTAAACATTCAGATCACAGCACACAGACTATTTATAGAATTTTTAATGATATGTGTGGGTACAGTGTTTATTGCCTTCATCCCTTGAACATCATTAGTAAAAAAATAAAAAGCCATACATCATATTAAATTTTCTGTAAACCAAAGCATCTTTTCAAAGTATAAATACACGATATGTTTCAGAATTCCAGGTAGATTGCTCTTTTCACAAAAAAGAGAATCCTCTGCATTGTTTTCTTGTTGACTTGCGGTACTAAAGTTTAAAGTGTCTCCCTACCACTCAAGTGTATCTGGGAGGTTGAGGCAGGAGAATCATAAGTTCAAGCCCAGCCTGGGCAACTCAGGAAGTTGGCTAAGACCGTGTCTCAAAACAAATCAAAGGAAGAAAGAAAGGAAGAGAGAGAGGCTGGGAGAGGGGGAGGCAGAAAGAAAGGAGAGAAAAAGAAAAAGCTAATTTAATATAAAGTACAATTGTGGGTATCATATTTTGAAGTCATCATTTAAATTTGCCATATTAAAGTTGATAATAATATAATGTATTTTTGTTGATAAACCAACAAGCTATACTAGAGCCTGTGTGCATCTGGAAGTAAGGTCAAGCACACTAGACCCCAAGAGCACTCTGAATGCAGCAGGGAGAAGGGAATCATCACACCATGGCCATGAACCTCGGGTCCCTGATGTCCGTGCAGCTAACGAGCAACGGCAGCCACGCTACCACTAGAGGCGGGAGTTGCTTTCTCGTCAGGCATACCCCTCATCCCAGGAGAGTCTGCCACATCAAAGGTAAAGAACTCAGGTCCTAGGATGAGTCGCTCTCCTCTGCACTTGGACCTCTTGGTGATTTGGGTTTACAATACTCAGCCACTGACAGGGTGTGGGTACTGGTGACTGGGATCAGAGGCCAGAACTGGAGCTAAGGCAGAGGTCTGTGGGTCTTCCCAGCTGGACACTGGCCTGGGATTGCTGGGCGGTTAAGACAGGGACTGAAGAGGGGCCCGAGTGGGCAGGGAAAGTGGGGAGCTCAGGACAGCACTGACCAGAGGGTTTAAAAGCATTGCATATCGTAACTACCTGCACAGCCATGCCAGTACCTACTTACCAGGTACAAGCCCTAGGGAGGCAGGCGCTTTATCCCTTCCTCTCTGTCCTTTCCCCTTCTCTCTTCGCCACCCCCCCACCCCCGTCTTGCTCCCTCTCTTTTTCTTCTTTCCTGCCTCTCTCTTTTCTCTTACTTTAACTTCATGCAATAGATTTCTTGGAAATTAGACAATGACAGTATCCTCTCTCAAACTGTCTTGGATTAAAGAAAAAAGGTGTATATACTTTTTACACATATTTTGGGTCTTAGACAAAAAGGAGACATGTTTTGAGAGTAGCTTTCTCAAGGTTAGGCAGCATGTGGAAAACAAGCAGATCTCTTGGGACTGAGAGGAGCCAGTGGTTTGCCCGGGATGGGGGCTTACTCAGCAGACCCTCAGGGCACCATCTGCCTTGTCCCCCAACAGAGCCACTGCTCGCATCCCCCTCACCCCCTGCAGACAGCAACATCAACTTTCCACTGCTGGACAGAATACCTGACATACATGGCTCATAGGAAGAATGCCTGCTTTGGGTCGCAGTTTCAGAGGTTTCCATCCATAGTCAGCTGACTCCAAGGCAGGAAGATCGTGGCTGGCGAGCACAGCAGAGGGAAGCTGCTCGCCTCATGGCACCTAGGAAGCAGAGCAGGGGGACAGCAGAGAGGAAGGGGCCAAGGGCAGACAGAGTCTCCCAGGTCATGCCCCATGACCCATCCAGACACAGCTACAAGTGTTCTTTGCTTACCCCCTAATCTGCCCTCAAGCTGACAATCAAGATTAACCATACCATTGCCATCATATTCCTGAGGTGACAGAAAGTGGGACATTGAAAATCTCTGTGCTGATAAAAATGAGTCATCCTTTGTAGGCAAAAGGGCCAAGCCTGGAAACAAAGACGAAAATTAGGAAGACCAAAATGCAAACACAAGGACCAGCATCCTACTGTGCAACAGAACTGAATGAGGGCAGGATGTGAAGCTGGAGAGTCTGTAGGGAATAAGCAAAGGGTCCTGGTGATGGATTAGACAGGTGTGAAAACGAGAAGCAAATCAAAGAATCTGCCTTTGTCCCTTCCCTACCTGAGGTTACCATGGCTAACAAAAAAAGTGCTGCTCTTGAAACTAGAAAGCTGAGAGGGAGACAGTGGGTCACTTCCTTCAGCAGATATTTATTTGATCTCTAATACATATCACCCCTGTTCTAGACATGGGAGGGGTCCACTGTCCTGGAGCTCACACTCATTCGGTGGAAAGCTGGGTCTGGCTCTCAAAAGGAAGTCAGGAGGAGAAATGTACAAACAGAAGTGGTTTGTCATAGATGGCTTTTATTAGATTGAGGTAAAGACCATCTCTTCCAATTTTTTGTAGGGTTTTTATCATGAATGGGTGTTGGGCTCTGTCAAATGCTTTTTCTGCGTCTATTGAGATGATTGTGTGAATTTTGTTTGGCTCTGTTGATACGGTGTCTTACATTTACTGTGTGTGTTGAACCATCCTTTCATCTCTGGAATGAATCATCCTTGGTCAGAGTGTATAATCTTCTTGATTTGCTGCATTCTGTTTGCCAGTCTCTTATTGAGGATTTTTGCATCTGTGTTCATTAGGGAGATGGATTGGCTTCTAGTTCTCCTCTTTGGTTGGGTCCTTCTCTGGTTGGAATCAGGGTAATTGCTTCCAGGAATGAGTTTGGGGGGATTGCTTCCCTTTCTATTTCATTGAACGGTTTGAGGGGAACTGGCATTAGATCTTTTAATTTCCTGTAGAATTCAGCAGTGAACCTATCAGAACCTGGTCTTTTTTTGTTGGTGGTGGTAGGTTTTAAATTACATTTTCAATTATATTGACTGATACTGAAATATTTAGAATTTTTATATCTTCTTGATTCAGCTTTGGTAATTCACATGTATCTAGGAATCTGTCCATTTCTTCTGTTTTCCATCTTATTAGAGTACAGGTTCATTCTCAAAGGTAAGTATTGATGATCTTCTGGATTTCCACAGGATCTGTTGTGATTTCACCCTTTTCATTCTTAACTGCACAAATTTGAGTCTTTCCTTTCATTTTTTTGATAAGGTTGGCTCAGGGTTTATCAATTTTATTTAATCTTTCAAAGAACCAACTCTCTGATTGATTGATTCTTTGTATTATTTTCCTAGTCTCAATTGCATTAATTTCTCCTCTGATCTTTATAATTTCTTCCATTGTTCAAGCTTTGGGCTTGACTTGTTCTTCCTTTTCTAGAAGTTCGAGGTTCATCATTGGATTATTTGAGCTCATTCTGTTTTCCTGTGAGAGTTCATTGCTATAAATTTCCCTCTTAGAACCACTTTCATTGTATCCCATAAGTGGCAGTATGTTGTGTTGGCATTATCATTTAATTGTAAATACCGTTTAATTCATCTGTGACCTATTGGTTGTTCAGAAGGATGTTATTTAGTTTCCATGTGTTTATGGGGGCTTTGTGGTTTCTTTTGCTGTTGATTTCCACTTTCATTGAACTATAGTCAGATAATATGCATGGGATAATTTTATTTTGTTTTGGAGTGGGACACTCTGTAGACATCTACTAAGTCCATTTATTCATAAGTTGGGTTCAGTTCTGATATTTCTTTGCTGATTTTTTGTCTAGTTGATCTGTTTATTTGTGACAATGGGGTATTAAAGTCCCCCATTACAGCTGTGTTAGTGCTTATTAGATTTCTCATGTCCATTAATAGTTGTTTTATATAGTTGGGTCCACCAATATTTGGTGCATATATATATTTATAATTGTTATCTCTTCTTCTTGTATTTTTCCCTTAACAAGATGAGCTGAGGGATAGGCATTTCCTAGAGAAGCCTCGATATTAGTGATAAAGCTATCGGTCATAGGAAATCTACATGCAACTACTCAGAAAACAAAATAAAATTTAAAAAATAGAAAATGATGAAACAGAAGCAAAATGCAACCCAGGCATCCAGCCCACCCAGGACAAGTCTAGGGGACAATGAAATAGAGGAAATTTGGAAGCCACCTACATTAACTATCTGAAGTGCTAGCAGCAGAAGTAAATAAACAAATAGAAGAGGCTATAGAGAAAATAATCTTTCAGGTAAAAAAAGATATGACAATCAAAATGAAGGACATGCTCAACAAATCTAGAGTAGATACAGATATAAAAAATAATAAAATGATGGAAACCATGAATACCCAACACAGGAAAGAAATGGAATCCATGAAACAGCTAACCAGGAGATTAAAAACTCCACTGAAAGTATACACAATCATTTAAACAAAGGTGAAGACCAAATTTCAGATCTAGAAGACATGATTTTGGTTACTGACCATGAAAAGAAAGACATCTTAAAAATAGCAAGAAGTCATGAAAAATCAATCCAACAATTGCAAGATGATACAGAGAAAAACAATATAAGATTAATTGGAGTCAATGAAAGAGCAGGAGACAGTGCAAATGTCATAAAAAGTCTGTTCACAGATGTAATGGCAGAAAATTTCCCAAACATGAAAGAAGAAATTGACATACAAATAAGTGAAGCATATAGAACTCCAAATACCCATGGCCAAAATAAATCTACAGCAAGGCATATAATAATTAAGATCCCAGGAATTCAGCACAAGAACAGAATATTAAAAGCTGTTAAGAGAAAAAAAACAAATCATATACAAAGGAAAGCCCATTAGAATCACAGCAGACTTCTCAACACAACCCCTTAAGGCAAGAAGATCTTGGAATGAATATTTCAAGCCCTAAAAGAAAACAACCTCCAATACAGATTGATGTACTCCACAAAACTATCTTTCAAAATCAATGGAGAAATACGATAGTCCCATGACAAAGACAACTGAAGAAACTCACGACCAACAAACCAGCTTTACAAAGTGCTCTGAAGGGCATTTTAGAAAGAGATAATGAAAATCACAATTCTAAGATCACCAATAGAAAAAAGCCACCAGGCAGGGCAAGCAATTAAACAGGTGAAAGACAAGGAACCAACATCAGGAAGATAATATGACAGGAATAAGCCAATACATATCAGTTATAACCATCATTGTAAATGGTCTCAATCCACCAATCAAAAGAAACAGACTGGCAGAATGGATCAAGAAACAAGATCCAACAGTATGGGGCACATAGGAAACACATTTAATCAAGAAGAAATTCATAGACTGAAAGTCAAAGGATGGACAACAACAATATTCCATGTGACAGGAACCCAGAAAATAGCAGAGGTAGCTATTCTATTTGTAGACAATGTGAACATCTGTGTCTTTTGATTGGAAAGTTGAAACCGTTTACATTGAGTTATTTTACTGAAAGGTATTGAGTGATTCTGGTCATTGCATTATTTTTCTGTTGAGGATCACTTTAGTTTTTCCTTTTGCTTAACTGACCACCCTGTTTGATGTACCCATTCCTTTAGTCTCTTTGATGTTCCTGGGCTCCTTGACTCTGTCTAGGATATCCCTGAGTACATTTTGTAGTGCTGGTTTGGTGGCCATGAATTTCTTAGAGTGCTCTTTGTCACGAAAAGTCTTTATTTCTCCATCTTTCTTATTTCTCCATTTTGAATAATAGTCTTGCAGGATACATCAGTCTGGGTTGCAAGTTTTTTCTTTTAGGACTTGAAAACCTTCACACCAAGCTCCTCTCATCTTTAATGCTTGTGTTGAGAAATCTGCTGTAATTTTAATAGATTTACCTTTATAAGTAATATATTGCTTTCCTCTGACAGCTTTTAAAACTGTCTTTGTATTGGGCTTCTTGGATTTTAACTATAAAGTGTAGTGAAAAGTTTCTTTTTTGATTGTGCCTATTTAGAATTCTATATGATTCATTTACCTGTATGTTGAATTCTTTTCCTGTATTTGGAAAAGTTTTGCTATTATTTCTGTAAGTAGATTTTTTATTCCTTTTGTGCCATCTTCTAATTTTTTAAAATTCCTATTACTAGGTTAGTTTTCTTTGATACATCTGGGAACTGTTGGATCCATTTTCCATGATCTCTTGTTTTTTTAAGATATCTCTGAATATATGATCTCCAGAATCCTATCTTAATTCTGACACTTTCCCCTCACTTTAGTCACTCCTGCTGCCCATACTTTCAATAGAATTTTTGTAACTTATGATTCTGTTTGATATCTTTTCATGGACTCTAATTCTTTACTAAACTTCTCATTCATGTCTTGTATTATCCTGGTTGGTTACTTGTTTCTTCTTTAAGCTCACTGATCATTCTATCAGTTAAGTCTATTATCTGTTTGGTTACATCACCTTTGAGCTCATTGAACAAATTGTTGATCCATTTTTTAGTTTCTTCTTTTATCCTTTAGTACATTTCAGCCATTTGGCTTTTTACTTCCTCTTCACCAAACCACTTTGGGCCAGTTTTGGTGGAATTGAGAGTTTTTGGAGGCATTTTATTGCCTTGTTTTCTCATGCTGTGTGTGTGTGTGTGTGTGTGTGTGTGTGTGTGTGTGTGTTGAGAGTTAAGGATAAATTAGAGTGGAAAACTGTTGATGCTATGAAGACCTCTTCAGTTAGTGTCTTCTTCCCAACTATGTGATCTTGGCTTTCATTGTTTTGGTATTTTTATACCTCTTCAACCTACTCAGCTTAATAGGATCAGACCTGTTTGCTATGTTGCAAGGAGAGGATTCTTACCAGTTATATAAACATCAACAGATCCAACCACATGCCAAATATTCACATTAAAACTTTTTAAACTATCGCACCCTTTTTTCAGTGACCCACAAATACTGTAATATGCTACCACTGACAAGGTGGAATGTGATGGATGGGAGAAGGAATAAGGAGGAGGAAAGGGAAGAGGGTAGATCAGAAAGAAGAGGAGCCAAGAGAGATAACAAAAGAGAGAAGATCAAATTCTGTTGACACGATAACTGAATTGGAGTGCTAGTGGAGGGAGAGAATATTTGTGGGGGCAGGAGTAGGGAAGCCGAGAAAGGAAAGTGTGATTGGAGACTGAGGGAAACTGCAAGGTCAGAACCTGTTAATATGCTGGCTTCGGTTTGAACCTGCTGTACACACTTTTGGAGAGGGTTACCCTGACTAGCCCATGAAAGGTGCTATTTAGATCAAAGAACTGGGTAATTCTTATTCCCCTTCTCACATAAACAGACATCTCCCATATATACATGAAAGGAGCAAAGGAAAAGAGTGGGGATAAAGGAAAAAGAAAGAAGAAAAGAGAGTAAATAAAAGCAACAGCCAAAAAGACCCACGCAGTTGCAAGAATACAAAATTAGAGCCTCCTCACTGCCCCATATGTATTGTAGTCTGAATCCCCCAGGTTCACAAGTGGGGAAGCTTTGATCCACAAGGGGTCAGGATGATTTCTGGGTTTGGCTTTTTCCCACCCTTCACCCTCCAGGGAGCATGTAACCCAAAAAGCTGCTTCTCCTCACCCTTCTCAGTTTCCAGCTGGTTCCTCAGGCTGCCAGCTTCTTGGGGGACAGACTAGCCATCTTTGATGATCTCTCATGTCTCACTGGTATCACAGGGCAGTGCCCCTACACACCCTACACCCTAAGTACGTGACTTAGTGTTCACACTGTACAGAGGCCTACCTATGACTTAATATTTGAATGAAATCCTATATTTTTGTTGATATATCTTGCAGGAAAGTAAGTCAATCCAGAAATCTCTGGCATGAGAATAAAGGGAACATTGTACCAAATTCTCCTTCCTTCTCTCCCTTACAATCTACTTTATGGTGCCTCCTAGCCCTCCTTCCTAAAGTTTAAACCATCTGCCAGCACAAAAAGACAGTGTACCTCTTTCAGAAGCCCTTATTATATAGAGACTTTCTGAATGCTTAAAAAAATCTAAATCTGATATACATTAGTCATCATGAGGACATAAAACTGAGAGGCCAATCCGAGATACTCCCAGACCAAGATCAAAGATTTGGACCTAGTTTTCAAGTCTGACGAGATGGCAGAACATTGGACAAAAGCAGGCCTTGCAGACAAAATCGACTACACAGTTAAAGAATCTCCACCCAGCACTGGATCATACAATTTGAAGTCCAGTACTTTGTGTATATTTAACAATAGTTGATTGGGAAAGTGATGATCATTTAAAGAAAACCTGCCAAAGATCTAATCTGGTTGTTTGATCTTTTTTTGTTGTTGTAATCATTACTCACCTAGGCTTGAATAACGTTCCAATCTGTACTGTGAAGGATGATGAGACTGCACTCAGAACACTGCAGGAAGGTGGCCGGCTCAGCCATCTGGAAGAGAATGACACCCACCTGCCCCAGAGAGCCCTGTCCGAGGAGTGTCACCAGCCCCAAACAGTGTCAAGACGCCCCCGCAGCCACACTCTGGTGAGTCCCTCTCAGCCGATGGAATGTTTCCTTAGCCTCCTACAAATAACTGGAGGGGGGAAATTATAAAATTACTAAAATAGATGTAGTGATTTTTAAATAGTCATGAGATTGTCTCACTATAAAATAGTTTGTTCATTATAAAAATTTTCCCATCTAGTCTTAGTTCACTAGCCCAATTATGCTAATAGATATGTTACTGTTTTCACTGTGTCCAAGACGTACGTGGTGTGGTTGTAGTTCCTGATTCCTACAGAAGTAGCTAAGAGATGCCAGATTTGAATGTTTCACCAACCCCAACAGGGAACCTATGTCAGTCAAAAAGCCAGTGCAGGAGACAGAACAGGTCGGAATTTCATGTTTTCATCTTCCCTGGCGGATCTTCATCCCCTTGGTTTCTCTCCAGGTTCCAGATAGTTAATGCGGATTGAAGTTGATAAACCGTATCAAAAGTAAAATGTGCCAAAATCCAAAAGGCAATGTAAAATAGAAGAAAGGAATTCTGCATGGTAAACACTATAGCCAATTGTCTTTTTCCTCTCATATACAATTATATACTATAGGGCTGGGGATTTAGCTCAGTGGTTTCGCCCCCTGCTGTGCAAGCACAAGGACCTGAGTTCAATCCCCGGTACCAAAACAAACAAACAGAAAAAACCAATTGCATACTATTACTAAAATTTCCCGATCGGAATTGTTTTAGAATGTAAAGTATATGTCTGCCTAAATCATTTGTGGAATCATTTGTGGAATACTTACTGTGTGCCATATCTTCTAAGGCCTTCACACTGTTAACTCACCTCATCCTTCTCAGGAGTTCCTCTTTCCCTGCCTCTGGCAACAAAGAGTCGAAACCCCCTTGTTTCATCTTGCTAGGGTCCCTTCTTATCCCATAGAACCTAGAAACTGAAAAATTACACTTTTGAACCAGAATTGATTCCTGGGAAATGTTCATCACCATCCAGTGAGATACATGGCATTTGCGGACCTGCAGTCATCTATTTAGCTCTTTTCTATTATCAGGCATGACTAGAAACACTGGATTTTCCTTTGACAGCATCCCCATGTCCATGTGCAGATTCTAGGTTGTGGGGTGTCACAGGCAGTCTGCAGATACCATGGCTTTCTGATTGCAGCGGCGTTCCCGGTGCTTACCCTGAGCCTCATGGATGTGGCAGTGGCCTCCCAGCCCCTTCCTCTGATTGTGGTGAAGGCTGCACCTGCTAGGGTGGGTCGGGTCCAAAGTGTGGCTCTTAGTGTGAGCTGTGAGATTGAGACCAGTCCTTCCAGTGCTATGACAATCTCTTAATCCTCCCTATCATTTACGTACTTGCTGAAATCAAGTAAGTTCTACTTTCCACAAGTGAACACTGACCTTACATACTTACTACTCCTAACTGTGTTTTCATTACTTGGTGAGAGGTAACTTCCACTTTATTTTCCTATATTTTTTTCAGGTAGAACTAATGGATTTAGTTACTTTGTTGTTGTTGTTGTTTTGGTACCAGAGATCGAACTCGGGACCTTGCGCTTGAGAGGCAGGCGGTGGATCCACTGAGCTCAATCCTCAGCCCCTGGATTTAGTTACTATTGAGAATATACTCAGAATATTTTCATCTTTTGAAAAATTGTGTTAACTGTGCCTTTGGTAAAAAGATAGCATCACTTATTTAGAATACACCTTTAAATTAATGTGAAGGAGGCCAGGTGTGGTGGCAAATGCCTGTAATCCCAGCACTTGGGAAACCGAGGCAGGAAGACTGCTGCAAGTTTGGGGCCACCCTGGGCTACACAGTGAGCTCAAGGTCAGCCTGAACTACATAGTGAGACCGTGTCTCAACCACCCTCCAAATTAATGTAAAGGTAAATTAGACAAATCTTTGAATCGTTTTAGGGTAATATAAGGGGATTTAGATGACCAAGTAAGGGAGGGTTGAGAGGCTGATGAAATAAGAAACAAAATAAAGAATATAATTATAACAGTGCAAAATTGTCTTCAGGGTAAAGAACACGTATCCATTACATTTTAATTAAAGAAAATGACAGGCATGAGGACATGAAACAGAAAAACATGTTTTACAGTGAGATGTGTACTCTTGAATTAGCTTTACTGGATCAAGAAAGCACTTACCGTGTGCCTTTAAATTATCATTTTGCGAATATTTTTAAGAATAAATGTACTTTTATTATGTGATTATAATGGAATTCCATCTTTAAGATTCTTAATATTTATAAACACATTCCTGAGTTAATCTTAAAGTCATTATATGCTCCTATGTATTTCAGCAACTGACACACATATCATGTGATAGAAATTATTTTTCAGCTCAATTTAAACATGTTTCCATAATTTCATTTCAGAGCCCAGTAGAAAATTCAATGAGTGCTTCAAAACTTCCAGTGACAATCCCTTCGTAATAAAAACGGTAAAGAAATAGCTATTTATGTCTACTTAGTTTGACTTCTATCATTTCCTTTCTCTTTGCATAGCTTCTTGAAAAGTCACCATGTTTCACAGTATTTTTAGTTTTATTAATGTATAATTAACATGATATAAAATGCACACATTCAAAATTAACAATTTGATGAGTTTTGACAAATATATATATATATTTAGCTGAGAAACTCTCACCAAAATCAAGAAAATGCACATATTTATCACCCTAAAAGTTTCCTTGTGACTCTACTTCTTCTAGAGGCAAATATTTATCTGATTTATATGATTAAAGATTAGCATGGATTTTTAAATTTTTTATACAATAAAACCACATGGTGAGCTCTCTTTTAAAACCTGGTTCCTTTGACTCAGCATGGTTATTTTATGATAATTTATGAGCACACTATTGATGTATGTTCATCTTGTGTGCATATATAGCTCATTCCTTTTTATTGCTGAGAAGTGTCCAGTTGTACAGTTATCTCACTGTTTATCCACTCACCTGTTGTTTCCAATTTTTCACGAAGCTTATATGGACATCTGTGTACAAAGCTTTGCCTGGATATATTTTTTCCCTTGGGTGATACACAAGAGTGTAATGAGTGAGTCTTACAGTGGTTTTATGTTTAGATTTTTAAGGGCTGATAAAATTGTTTTCCAGGGTGGTTGTATCATTTTACATTCCCATTTGAGTTTCTTTCCTTCACACCCTCCCAAAACTTAGTATGGTCAGTTTTTTTATTTTTTAAATTTTAGCCAATGTAGTGAGTATGTAATGGTATTTTATTGTGTTTTCTAATTTTGGTACCTAATGAGGTTCACATCTTTTCATTCTCTTGCCATTCATGTCTTTTTATGGAAACCAGATGTTCAGATCCTTTGCCTATTTTTGAAATTGGTTTATTACCCTTTTGTTATGATGTTATAAAAGTTCTTTATACACTCTAGATACAAATCTTTTGCCACATCACACATGTATGTTTTGCAAATGTAGAAAAGGTAACAACTCTTCTTTAATATTCTGGAAAATTCTATGTAGAATTGATATTATCTTTTTCCTTTAACGTTTGGTAGACTCTTCAGTGAAACCATCTAGGCCTGGAGTTTTCTTTGGGTCAAAATTTTTAACCATAAATTCAATTTATTTTGTTCATAGATAGAGACCTTGTAATTGTTTTGATTCTCTATGTTGTATTTCTTGTTTTGTTAATTTCTGTATCAGTCTTCTCCAAACATTTTTCTAATGTGTGTACTTTAAGGTTATAAATTGCTTTAGCGGCTTTCAGTTTTTGCTATGCAACATTTTCACTAGCATTAAGTCCAAAACATTTTGTAATTCTCATTACAATTTCTTCTTATAACGCAGTTGTTGGATTTTATGTATGAAACATTATTTGTACCAATCTGAACCCCATGCTAAATAGGCCTTCTTCCAGAGAGAATTTATTTATTTCTGTAGGAACCCAGAGGCGCTATCACACCTTGCTCTCGTGGCTGTACTTTCAAACACTGCTGTACTTCTACATCCGCTTTGCTGCGAGGGAGTAGTCCCAGGTGGCCCTTCACTAGGGCCTTGTTCAGGAAACCTGCTTTTCAGGCCTTATATGGCTGTCAAAAAGAAAGTTCTCATTTTCCACCATCATACAATGATGTCAGGGAAAAAACAGCTACGTACTTGATAGACTTCCAGCTTCTTCTTTTTCAGATTCAGTTTACTTATCCCTATTTTATTCATTCTGAGTCTTTCATTTATTTACGTATTTAAGCAGAAATGAGTGCTGAACCAATTGCCTTGCTCATACCAAGCAAGTATTCTATTACTGAGCTAAACCAGCCATATTTTTAAAAAATTTATCTAGGTTTTTAAGTTATATTCAATAGGGGACTGAACCCAAAATATGTATTATTATTTCTCTATAAGTGTACATAATAAACCTTTTAAAAAAGAAAGCCTCTAAATATAGCTTTATTTTCACCAAACGTCAATAGCTAAATATTGTTCCATCAACTCCAGTCAACATAGTCCCAGGCTGCTAACTCATTTAGTCACTACTTCCGTGTGGCTTTATAAATCAGTCACATCTGAAAGTTGTTATAAAGCTTTCCTTGAACAAGCACACAGATCTAAGGTTTCTGTACCTCTTCCAGTCTTAAACCTCTGACAAACATTTTTAAACAGTATATTCACTTCCCAGAACAAGAAAATAGCCTTTCTGTTTCCTCTTTCAGCTAACTGAGGGAAGAAATTTAATTTGTCTTTTGACTCTCCAGCTCTCAGGGGCCACTTATCAGAGTAGAGAAGCAGTCAATATGATGCAATCTCTTCCCAAAGTATAAAACCTGTCAGCTCTCTTTTCTTGGCCATAAAAGAAGGTTCATCCAAAATACACAGAAAATCTCATGCATCAGGAGTTGGTTACCTCTGAAATTGCAATATAAATGAAAGTTCCACATTAAGTATTTCAAAATTACTGGGTTGAAAATACAGTTCAGTGATTGATACAGCTGTTTCCTAGCACGCACAAGGCTTTGGATTCCATCCCAAGTACCAAAAAAAAAAAATTATCATGGTGTTTAATCAAGAACTTTAAATGAGTTCTCCAAAAATTAATAACAATATATCACAATTTGTTTTGTTTCCAAATATGTATGTTTGATAGAGTTTAAAGGAGCATTAAAACTAACTTCTTTTTGGTTTCATAGATCTTGCTTACTAACTACAATGTTTCTCACTGGTTTTGTTTAATTTGAATAGAAAATATAAGTGGAAACAAATGCATATTGATTATATAATACCTTTGATTTATGAAGAATTTAAGGCCAAGAAGCTGCCATTACCTCCCAAGGCAAGCTCTACTGCTGGCTCCTGCTTTTCAGAGAGAATCCTACCCAGGCCTGATGTCAAAGAAAAGACTGTCTGCATACCAAACTACCTGGAACAGGAAATAAAGGTAAGAGGCAGGTTTATCAAATCTGTAACCTGGAGCAGCATAAACATGCAGAAAAAAACCCCAAACAAACAAACAAACAAAAAGAAAAACCATAGCACTAATTCATAAAAACTCCTCACAAGTGGTTCCTCATTGATGCATGAATTTATTTACAACTACTTAGCCTAAAATCCAAGGCCTGCTCCTATTTTCATTTCCAGTCTTACTTTTCCCTGGAATTCTGTCACACTTATATAAGCACAAGCTTTGGCTTAGAATAGATGTTATACGAAGGTTGGCATTTGCCAAACTTGCCCTTATTCTCCCCTTCCTATTTTTCATTTTCATCTTCCTAATACATGAGAGGTACTTCTTGCTGCTTCCTGTTTATTCACATACAAAGACAGATATTCTCCAATCAACACTCATCTCTCCTTCTGATATTTGGCAAACTATTTACTCAAGCATTCTCTACTTGAGGATATAAAATTAGTAATTTAATAGTATTATATCATGTCAGCCTCTTGGAAGGTTCTCCTCAGCCACAGCTATTTCTGAGAATGACAGTGAAGATTAAATCAATCAACATATTTATCAACTGCTGTTTTTACTTCTTTTTGAATCCCTTTGATAAATAGCATATGGCCTCACCCTAAGATCCACTACTGTAAACTAAGGGTCAAATATATTGTAATGATGACTCTGACCGTATTTTAAGTAATTAATATCTGTAGTATCAATCACGCATCACAAAGCGTGTTATAAAGATCATTAAATAATCCCGAGAAGGAACTATTTTAAAAGTAAAGCAGAAAAGAGGCTTTGGTATGATAATTTATGCAGATGATTAAAACTGGAGAAAAGAATGAAAGAAAAATGAAGAGCAGATATGTTTTTGCAGATGTGACTGATAGTCTGGCTAAAGATTTTGTATTCTCCAGTCTTCAGCATCGCTATCTACCTCACCCACTACACTCAGGCCACAGTGACCTTTCAAAAACTTTTTCATTCTTACCTTACAGGTTTATCCTACTGAGAATTCTCTTCTCCTTGACCCTCTGTGTGGTCACCTCATTCAAATCTCAGATTAAAGATCACTCATCAGAAATACTTTGACCACCCACTGTAAAGTAGCTATCCAGTCATTCTCTATGCTTTCACCCTTTGCTATTCTTTGTACAGCATGTTGTATATAAATGTTCATATTTATTTATTTGTTTCAATAATATCTCTTCCTTCAATAGACTTTTATTAAATGTTAGTCCTAGAAAGAGCTCATAATTGTCTAACTTGGTTATTACTTCATCTTCAATGACCATAGAATGCTAAATATCTAGTAATTATTATAGATCTGTTGAATGTTGAATAAATTAAAAGAAAAATGCTACCAAGATCAAGGTAGAATTATTGAAAATTAGCCTTGAATTCAACAAACCATGACTGAGTGTAGTTTTAGTAACACTGTCTCGCTTCCTTGGACACAGCAATGGACCAGAAAGACCCTAAAGGACTGGTTTGGGGGCATCTATTAAAGGGCTTCCTCTCAAAAGCACCATCTGTCTTACAGATATTAATCTAACTGGACTTCGCTTAATATAAACCCACTAAAATGTAAACTCTGAGTGCAGCCATCTTGTATCCTCAACAACCCCTCAGCCCTCACCACTGCTTGGAAAGTATTAACAGAAACAGAGCATGGCATTTTCCAAATATGTGTTGGCTACTTGTTAAATAAATGAAAGGAGAAACACAGAATGAAAAAGATAGGTCTTATCAAAATTTAAAGATGTGCTGAACCATGTTCCCTGCTCACTCTTTAAGCCTCAATGCACGCGCGTGTGCGCACACACACACACACTGAGGGTGGACCCTTGAATTTGATTCCTAATCTGACAGGTCGGGGACTAGGGAGCTTCTTCCCCATGTCAGCAATTGAAAAAGTTCCATTTCACAGTCTGATTAAGAAATTCTCACATCTACTAAAATTTGAACACATCCTTAAAGGCCACAGACTTGTCTCTCTAGGAAAATGCCAATGAAAACAGGAGGGTATGAACAATACATTCTGCTACTTCATGAAGCATGTTTAACACTCCGAACTCAGGGTCTGGAGAATTTTATTGTTGTATTGAGAACTGGGAAGTCCTGCAAAAGACAGGACATCAGAAGGACAACCTGTTTGAAGCTATCAAGGCTGGCGTCCTTAGACTCTCTGCTGAACAACCCTGGATATTTCTGATGCTGATTGACTCACCCTCTGGACCTGGAACAGAGGACTTGTAAATTCCAGAAGCCTTGCTCACTCGTTTGCTGTGTTTTTGCCAACTATTATGATACAGACTTTCATATACAATTTTTCAGTTAACTCTATGGGAAAAGAATGATTAGGTTACCTTGAGGATTTATGATTACTCTGTTCAAGGAAAATCACAGAACAAAAATTCTTGCTGGGCATGGTACACACACCTTCAATCCCAGCACTTGGGAGACTGAGGCAGGAGGATCCCTTTGAGTTCAAGGCCAACCTACATAGCAAGACCCTGTCTCCAAAGGGGAAAAAAAAGAAAAAAAAGAAAAGGAAAGGAAATAAAAGAAATAAAAATTCTTTGAGAGTCCAATGACTCTGATAGACTTCTAAGGATAGACTCACAGAGAAATCTCCTCATTGGACACATTTCCAATTCTCCACACCTGATCCACACTAGATTGAGACCTTGTGGAGCATTCATCCTCCCTGAATCTGGGAAGCCTGACTTGCCAGCCTAGATGCCTCTGTCCAAGCTCAGAACCAATGTTTACCTCAAAGGATTGGAAGCTCCTGAGGTCCACTGTGTGCCTGCTTAGGTTCCCATAACAAAGAGCATGCAGGTTTCCTAGGACCACTTACCACACCTCCTTTCACTAAATGGATAATTATGTCCTCTAGGATGGAGGTGATCTATGAATTCGAGGAAGTGAGAAATTATGTACTATCACTATACTGATTTTTAAAACACAACAGCATAGAGGCAGAGTCCTTTTAGAGATGGAATGCCCAAACTGCAACCCAAAACCGACTTATTTATCATGAAGTGCCAACACTGCAATTAAACCTGCACACTGAGGTTTCAGTGTAGAAAAAAAATATTCATACACTTGGCTCAGGTGCTGACAGAGGGCTCTGTGTGCCCACTGCAGCACACGTGTCATAGGTTTCCCACCACTGCCCTAAGGGCTTGTTCTCTGTTCTTGGTATGGTTGTTTATTTGTTGTAAAATTCAGAGCAAATTAATATGTTGTCTTTTAGAATCTGGTCTTACTGAAGACAGAAGTGTTAATACTATAATAAAGTTCCTTTTAGGGCAGGTGCTTTTTCAACTCTTTCATTACACTTCTGTTATCTCCAAAGTCTAGATCAGTGACTGAGACAAATATTCATCAAATTAATAATTTAAGATTTCTGCCAGAGAGATGAGGAGAAAGTTTGTTGTAGTAGCTCAAGCAAGAAGTGATGCTGCTTTGAACAAGGTGGCAATGATAAAGAAAGGAGATTTGAGGAATATTCAGAAGACGGAATGTACTGAACTTGTTGGTTGGTAGTATTTTGTAGAAAAGGGCAAGGGAGATATTTGGGATGAACCCGAGGTCTGGCTTGGAGAGTTCACTGTGTGCTGGATGAAATAGGGGAATCAGGAGCAAGAGCAAGTTTGGAGTAGGTTTTAGAAAGAGAAATATGGGTTTAGTTTTACATTTTTTTTTTTTGGTACCAGGGATTGAACTCAGGACCTTGTGCTTGCCAGGCAGGCAGCAGAACCACTGAGCTAAATCCCTTGCCCTACTCAATCTTTTTTTTTTTTTTTTTGGTACCAGAGATCAAACCCGGGTCCTTCCGCTTGCAAGGCAGGCAGTGGAACCACTGAGCTAAATCCCCAGCAGTTTTAAATATTTTGGGTTCAAAGTACCTATAGTATACCTAAGTGGATACATTTAAAAGGCAGGACTGGAATTTAGGAGACAGATATGAATCCCAGATATGTCTAATAGCAGATACAATTAAGGTTCAAACTGGAATCTACATTACATGTGCTTAATATTCTGTACTTTCATGTTAATGCTTATTTATAATCCACTTTTATTAATTAGTTCATATTCTCAGCTCTGTCACCCACACTTAAGCTATAATATATATTCTAGCTATACATACTAGCCATATATATATATATATATTCTGATTGGCTAAAGAGATTTACATTCCTACCCCACTGGATCAATTCCTGAGGTTTGAAGAAATGAGGTGCAATGATGAATCCAGCTCAGATACATCACTCTTATCCATGTAATGGAAAGAAGCAGTACAGATAGGGCCAGTTCTGTGACTAGCAGAACTGTGCTGTGACCGTGATGCAGGGTGAAGGATCCATTTCCCAAATGCAGTGAACTTCTCCTGTCTGAAGACCTGAAATGGAACAGACGCAACACAAGAAATGCACACGGCATTGCCTAAACTGTTATTGTACAGGTGGCACTTTGCTAAGATTCCACTGTGTACTTTGAAACCTGAGTGTCACTTACAGAGCAAATGTTGGGGAGATGAGATCCTGAAGGTGAAGGAAACCTTGTAAGCCCTGTAACATTTCCATACTCACTATATAACTTTACTCTTCTCTGTCAGATCCTGGCAAAGCTCTGTGACATTTTACACACTGATTCCTTGGCAGAAGTTCTACAGTGGCTGCTTCATGCAAGTACAAAAGGTGAGCTTGAGGCAAACATTTGTAGCTACTGATCTCAGGTTATTGTCAGAAATTAAGAATCTGCCAAAATCCTTGGATTTGGAAGGATAATGTTGCACTATCATTTCCCTACTGTTTCTATATCAGAATCACGTAGTCCTATATATCCAACCATATGCATGCTGCTCATTCAATGAACCCAAAATGCAGTATGCCTCAGACTGAACTCACTGGAGTGATCCTCATGTCCAGACAAGGCCTTATTCTGAGCTAGAGCTGGTTTGTGCTTCTCCTCCTGCTCCACACAGCTGAGGTCCTCCCTGAGCATGTTCTCTGGCTTTCTCTGAACCCTGAACACAGAGCCCATTTATTTCCTTTGGATGGCAGTAACACAGCCTTCCACATTCCAGATTCTAACAACTCTGCCACATACCACCAAATCCATCAACTCAGTCTCCTCTCCACCTCCTTTGGGGTCTTCCAACCTGGTCTATGAATATACTTGCCATTCCCAAGCAGGACAACCATAAGTGACATACATATTCTCAAACTCAGCTGGTCATCACACACTGCACTTCTAATATGGTACCAGGTGACACTGGTGATGCTGGTCTAGGGACCCCTCTTTCAGAATCACTGCACTAATCTATGTAACTATCAACATGTTAGGGACAGATTATTTTAAAATGGGGACCACTTTGGAAATAGCACCTTACCTCAGGAACTCAAGGCTCCTTTGCCAGTAATTGACAAGTACTGTACTTGGGGGCAATGGATCTTTATTCTTTGTAGTTATTTTTCTCATTTTAAAGAATATCAATTAATAAATTATGTGGGTAATGAATGCTTACTGTTGAAAGAAAAGGACAAATGAACCAGAAAAAAAAGATAACAGAATAATCAGTAAAATTATCATGGACACATATCCAGTGAATATTTTAATGCATATCTTTTTAGATATGCTTATAACTATTTTTATCTATCAGTCTGTATTTTAATGGGATCATATCATACTTATTTTGGTGCAGCTACCTTTATGTTGCATGGGAATCCTTGTTGTGGACAAGTGAGTTCGGACAATAGAGATAGCCACACTCCGTGCCAGATTCAAGACCGTTTAGTACAGCCGGCGGCTGAGGGGGGCTAGCACCCAGAAAGTTTCCTCGGCAATGGGAAGCAGTTTGATCTCTCCTTTTAAATCACACTTTCAGTTGGGGAGGGCTCAGGGGAGACCAAGCAGAATCTTACCGAAGCAGAGCCGTGCCAGGTTAGTGGGGGTACAAGGAAGTTTTACACACCAGGTAAGCTACACAACATCCTGCAACTGCAGCAAGTTTACTGCCAAGCAGGATGTGGGGGTTTTGGGTGCTTTGTTCAAGCACAAGCACTTTGTTCAAGCACAGGTACAAAATGGCATTGAGGCACAAGATGGAATCGGGTTGGCTATCACGTCCTTACATTTTCAGCAGCAGGGTACAGGGCTGGCTTTTATTCTCCATATTCTAAAGCTATTGCACTGCCCTTCGGGATGAGCATCTCTGTGATTTACCTGCCCAGGGCACCTACAGCATCACAGGGCAGCAGAAACACGTCCACTCCCATAGATGCCTACCAGAGAACACTCACAGCCTTTTACACGGGGATTTTTTGGGGTTTTTGTTTTGGGTACCGGGGATCGAACGCAGGACCTTGCACTTGGGAGGCAAGCAGTAGTACCACTGAGCTAAATCCCTGGCCCCTGGGGGCTTTCTGAATAACAGAACCAATCTTTGTTTCCAGCCAACTTGATAAGGACAACTTGCCTCTCCCCACCCTTTTTTTTTTTTTTTTTTAATCAGAAAAAGAGTGGGTCTGGGCATTGGTTCACTCTGAGTTGGCTGAGATAAACTTACCTTGCCGCAGAAGGAACATGGCAGTGGAACCGACAGTGGGGACTGCAAAGCCACTCGAGGCCAAATCCCCTCCTGCTGTCAAATCTCCTACAAATTCATCTGCAGAATCCAAAGTGCAGGCAGCAGTGAGGGAGCCGGCCAGGTAATTACATGGCTACCTGGAGAACCTACAGAACATTAAAAACTTCTAACTCTATCATCTGTCTTCCAAAATGCTAAACATGTCTCTATTCAGTAAATGTTTGCAATGTTTTCTTTCATGTTCATAAATGTAGTATGAGAATTATTTTCACTTCAACTGTTCAGAACATTTTGGGAGGAGCCATGTCTTCCTTGTCCAGTAACTTTTCTTTTGAGAAAAAGCCCCTTCCCACTAAGGACAAAGCAAGAGCGGCCACCTAGAAATCTAATAAAATAGGGATTTTTTAAAAACTAAAAATAGAAGCCATAAAGAAACAAACTGTAGTGTTATAGTTGTAAATATTTTACATATTCTATTAAATGCATATTGCACAAATATAACTTTTTGTGTAGAAAAGTGAAGATAAAAAAATTGCTTCACTTAAATTTTTCTGGCAGAGCCCTGGGAGTTTTCAGAGAGGAAAAAATAACCACTAAGGAAATTGGAAATTATTTCAGAAGAAATTTTCCTTAAACAATGTAATTTCAATAACAGAAGAAACATACATATGTGTTTATAACATCAAGATAAAAGAATGCTAGGAAAGAAAATCTCCTTGCTTTAAAATTAAAAGTTGGGTAAAATTTAAATAAAATTAATATTTAAAAAATAATATGTCACTTTAAGGAGCATTATGAGAGAGAATCTTATTTGGTTATTTGTCTCTACCATAACATTTCCATAAAATCCGAAACTAGGAGATAAGAAAGGTCAGTCTCCCCCCGTTTAGTGATCAGCATATGATTACTGAAAGTAAGAAGAAGCTTTAATTGGGAGGTAAATTTAATTCTGTATACATGTAAAGTAAATAATTAGGATAGCCCATTAAATATACATGGACACAGAGCTTGTGGATAATGTATTTTAATATGTGTCTGTGAAATTCATTTTTTCTCTTTCTCCAATTGATTTAGACTGTCAAGTCAAGGATCAGAAGGAAATAAGGAATTACCCAAAGGTTAAGTACAGTTTGTGATATAAATACTGAGTCAGTATAAGAAACCAGTAAGTACTAACCACTTAGTGGCATAGACTTTAAGAATCTGTGCTTTTAAAAGAAAAACAGTAAAACACAAAAAGTGATTTCTAATTCAACTCTTAAGGGACAGCACTTGCAGAATTTCTCATAGACATAAATTGGCATAAATTCGCCATCATTTTGAAAGGCAAGTGCCTCTTCTGGGACGCACACCTTGAGAAGCAAGGCAGCAGGACAGCTTGAAATACAGGTGCAGTCTTGCCAATTCGAAGAAAGGGAGCCCTGCACTGGCAGAGAAAAGGACAATCATCTCAGAGCTTTGCTTAACTGTCATGGGGCTGGAAACAAAGTCATCCAGAGAAAACAGTCAAGTGGATCAGCCACAAGACGGTGCCCTAAGGGGCAGCTGAAATACAATAGGAAGGAGCAGTTTTACTGCCCCACCAGAGGCTGGGTACCAGCCTACAATTTGGGCCAGTGTACCAATAAACAACAAACAAATGAATAAATAAATAGATACGTCTTTGGAATAAAAAAAGAATCAATGACCGGAAAGTCCTACATTGGCCCAAAATAGCCCAATGGAAGCATCCCTATAGGTTCAAAAGCTTCTAGCTGTAAAACAAGCTAGCAATAATGTTGGAGAGGAGCCTCAAAGCAAACTCCATCCTGTTTCCCCAAGTTCACTTTATACCAGGAATGATGTGGTAATCAGAGCTCCTTAAAGCCACTCTGGACCCCAGCTGTTTCCACTGGGCTTAACCATACCCCAAAATGACTCTAGGTGCTGACCAGCACTGGTACAGTTTAGAAATGAGAGTGCACCCACACCCTCCCTGGGACTCTGAGCACAGTCTATTGGCCTGGTCTCTCCTACAAACCCCTCACCCTAGGAGTGTAAAATCACCACAGTGGAGGTTTCCAGTCAACCTTGCCTTACCTGTGGCCCCACGCATATTTTACCCTCTCTAGATGCCTGGAAGATTTCTGTGTGAGAATCCCCCCAAACTATGCCTTTTTCTCTTTATTGTTAATTCCACCTTCAGCATCTTCCCAAATCCCCACCCTGTAGGCTTTGGGAAGGTCTTATGAGTACAATTCATTTGTTTTACCTTCCTTGTTTTTCTTCATTTTGTCTCTCAGAACCAGATTTTTCTCTTTTTTCTCCCTGCCCCCCTCCTCGCTCATCGTCCTTACCCTTTGCCAGTTCTAAATCACTCTGACCAACACGTTTGCTTCTCAGAGTGAAACAATGTGTGCTGTATGATTTAGAACAAATAACTCATTGAAGATGAGCAAATGGTAAGAAATTAAGACGAGAATATTCTTTTATGAATTTAGGGTGTTTCTGATTCACCTAAACTTCATATTTTTAAAAATATCATTTGCTACAAAACAAGGCAGAAGCTGTCCTCAATGTTTCAATTATGGTCTCACTCAGATTTCTTTCCATTTCAGGGGCTGAGCACAAGCCCCCACTGTATCTAAGAAGCAGCAAGATGAAAATATCTGCTACCGAGTACTTCAGCAAACCGAAGTCTCCTCTCAGGCCTCACACTTGGGACTGCAGGTCAGTGAAGCCAGTGTCAGCAAGGAGTGTGCAACAAGGATTTAGTCTCTGTCCTCCAAGAGTGTCTCGCCCTTTAACTCACTAAAGGTCGAAACTGCAGGCAGGTCCAATCTGCCACACAAGAGCTGCACACTGCTACAACATCAAACCGTTTTTTCAAAGAATCGAGTGGCCCTCGTTCTGGTGGCACATACAAATTTCCCAACACCCGTATATAATTACAAATAAATATTAATGGAGATAATATTTCTATTTGTAGTTAATGTTACTACATGTAAATGAGGAAGGTTTATTTAAACACTGTTTCCAGTCTTGCACTATTAGTATTTGTACCTAAGCAAGGGGGCCCTGATATAAAAAAATCACCCATAATCAGAATAAAGCAGGAATGGAGAGGGGGCAGGGAAAACAGCCTGAGAAGTTTAACGTTTGAGCTGACTTGCAATTGACAGGGTTTAAATGTTGTTGGACTATTGTGAAAAAATCCTCCCCTCCTTCCAAAAGAGAAAAGATAAAAATCATCCTTACCTCTTGACCCAGAAAGGAGCTGGCTCCACTCCATGCTGTAATGGTGGGTATTAACAGGTTTGCTAATATTGAATTTTTTCCTATTTTTTAAATTAACTCCTCTATGGGCCATAGCTGCTATTGTTATGTGGGCTGGATTCTATCCACTAATCGGTCTTTTATTTAGAATGTTTGTGTTGATAATCAAAAGAAACAGAACAAACTTCATGTGCTTGTATATGTGTGTCCATCTATGTGCATGTTATCTCAGTAACATTTATATCATACTTATTATGTGACAGGAATCATTATAAACATTTTAGATAAGAGTAGCAATTTCCAAAATCACTATTGTGATAGCTACTATCACTTCTCATTTTAAGAATAAGAAGACAGTTGCAGAGCTGTACTCATTGGGGTGGGACAAGCTGAAACAAACACCATCAGGGTCTATTTCTCACTTAAGGGTCCAAGGGTGTGCTCATCATCGGTAACTGGCTGCTTTCTTTACTTGGTGACTGAGAGGCCCAGGAGCCTTCCATCCCCTGGCTCAACCAATACCTAGGGCTGCCTTTGTATCCAGCTGGGAAAAAGGGAAACTGAGGAGAGGAAAGTATTAGTTCCTGTTGTTAATGCAACTAATTACCACAAACTTAGTGACTTACTGCAACACATTCATCCTCCTCCAGCTCTGAAGGCGGAGGTCTGGAAAGGAGCACACTGAGCTAACGTGAAGGCATGGCGGGGCAGCAGTCCTTTTGCAGGCTCTAGGGGCAAATCTGTTTCCTCACCTTCCCATCCTCTAGAGGTGATCCACACTCCTTAGCTTGTGGCTTTCTTGTTTCCAATGACAGCAAAGGCCAGTGGAGTTGCTAGAGACTCTCATGCTGACTCTTCTGCCTCTTCCACTTGGAGGACGCTGGTGATTACACAGGGCCAGCCTATTATCCAGAGTAATCAGATTTTCCCCTCAGCTGATTAGCAATTCAGTTCCATCTTACCACAAATTTCACCTTACCACATCATGTAACATGCACATTGCTCCCAGGGGTCTGGATCATTGGGGAGCATTATTCTGCTTTCTACAAGGAGGGTACATCTGCTTAAAGTCAGCCTTGAAATGGTAAAAGTCGCTCCTAGTCACATCCCACAACTGAGTTCAAGCTGGAAGGAAAGCTCATAAAGAGTTTGCACAGGAACCATATTACACCTAGTTACATTCTATGGAAAAACAGCTAAAAGCCTTAGTGACTGGCTTGAAATGCAGCTGGCACTAGATGCCACTAATACAAAGACTACGTCCAAATTCACAGAAGCGCTCTTCTCTGCCGTGTTAGAGAGGCTGCAACCATAAACTGCCTGAAGTTTCATGACTAACATGCAGCAGGGCCCCATTTCCTCCTCTTTCCTCAGTGCTGACCTGGTCTCTCTCACGCCCAAGCCTGAGTGTCTGGTCTCTGGTCATAAGCTGGACAACACATAAGCATCTCTATACCAATTGAAATTAAAGTTAACCACTGAAAAGTTAACCAATTAAAAAATCCTTCAGAAATTCTTTTAAAAGAGGTGGTGGTCACTGGCTTCTTGTCATCAACACTCTCACAAGGTATGGGCTTGTAGAGGGGGGACAGTATCCCCTGAAGACAAATCAGGTGCTGACATCTGGCACCTATGAATGTGCCTTATTTGGAAATAGGAGGTTCACAGATGCAGTCAGGCTAGGATGAGGTCACACTGGATGGTGGTGAAGAGGGAAATCTGGGCACAGATGTGGGAAACAGAGGCCAGACCGTGCGACGACACAGCAGAGAGCGGATGGACCTGCAAGCCAAAGCCAGCCGGCAGGACAGGCTCTTCCCAGGGTATCTGGAGGAGCGTGGCCCTGCGACACCTGATTCTGGGCTTTTAGTCTCCAGAACTGTTGAGAGAATAAATTTCTCTTGTTTTTAAGCCACCCAGCTTTTGGTAATTTCTTATGCCAACGTTAAGAAACTAATACGGCACTTTTCATATTTAATGAAAATCAAATTATGTGATGCCCTTCACTTTTCATAATTATACAGTGCCCTATTATACATAAAATAATTTAAGTAAAAGGCATTATTCCACGCTAGTAAACCATACTCACAAAAGTCTGAACCTTTGAAAAATAAAACTTACAACAAGGTTTCTTCTTTGAGAAATGTAGGGCTAGTTAGTTGGCTTACAGACCTTACTTTAAAATGGGTAACTGTAAGGTACCAAGAAAAAAGGAACAAAAATGAAGCTGTTAAACATCAATAGTAAACTCAATAAACTTTGTATTAAATGTGTATATGTAAGTTGTATATAACATGTATGTACTAAAACTTATCTATTTAAATATAACTTTCAAGTATTTTTTAAAGAAAGAAAATACAAAAGAACAGAAATTTATTTTCACAAAACTCTAAAGGCTCCTGAAATATTACTTCAGCTGTGTCTAAGGACAATCACCTTATATTAAACGTAATTCTCTAGTTACTGATTTGAAACTAAAATAGCTTCCTTTTTATCCCATCCTCCCCTGCCAACAATTCCAAACAAATGTTCAGTAACAGATGTTTACATTTCATGAAATTCAAGTTGTTCTTAGTGAGTCTGACACAACCATTCACACAAACAATACAAGTCCTGGTAGGTATCACAACCTAATAATTGAGAACTATATGTGACGGGGACAAACATGTACATACAACCATGTGTCCACTTTCATACATGTCTGTTATTTACAGAAATAGAAATATTTACATTAGTTTGAATCTTAGTATATGATAAGGAAGCTCTACAATAGTCACCTTAAAAGCCAACAAATATTTTATTTTAAAAATGTACAGAAAGGATAGCTAAGAGCTATTTTAAATTCAGTAAAGATAAAATCCTTCAAAAATAACAGCCTTATACAATAATCAAGCCTGCAAACAGTTGCACAACTGACTTATTACCATTATAGAAACTGAGAGAATGTATTAAAGATTCTCAGCTCTGCGTGATTATTTCCACGGTGACATTACAAAGGAGGCAGAGGTTAGGGCTCCACGGCCCAGAAGAGAAGACGTTGAGTCCAGCAAATTGCATTTCTTCCCAGTTATGGTATTTCTTTGCAATACTCAAGTTGAAAATGAAAGCTGCAAATGGTGGGTAATACTCCTATACAACATTCTAGTATACTTACAGAATGTTTATGATTATCTGCCTCTGCAAATAAACAGGCCATAGATCAGAAAGGTGTTGATCTAAACATAAAATAATAAAACTGAGAGGTCAGAAGGCACATCTGGAGAATACTTTCCAGTAAATGAAAGAGAATGAAGGTATACTACCAGTAATAAAGTAAAATCTTCTAAAACTCTTATTCAAAGCTAAACAACAACAAAGATATACACGTTTAAATCTTACACAAATACAAAAAAAGTCTTTAAAAGTATAAAGGGCTTTTTGTTATTTAGTTCAAAAAAAGCTTTAAATTCACAATATAAATAAGAGAAAATAACATTCTTTTCCAATCTGACTGTTGTGTGAAGCACCTCACTCGCCACTTCCTCCTAATGTGTCCCTAAGCTCAAAGGGAACCAGGTAGTGTTAGCAGGGCAGACTCATGTGGACTCAGTGGGTTTCCTCATCCTGCGCTTCCTCTGGATGTGGTGAATCCAGTTGATTCCTGCAGCATTCCGCCTCACTGTCCAATCCACCTTCTGCCCCAGCAGCCTGCTGGTCCTGGGAAGAGCTATCACAGGCTTTGTCTGTGGGGACAGCTCCTTTCCGCTGGGGTAAGATAGTAAAAAATGCTTCTTGCCAGTCTCTTGTTTGCAGGTATTCCAGAATAATCTCAAATACTGCAATAAAGACACACTCCATACATTGCTTGGTCAAGTTCATCCCAACACTGTATTGTCTTCTAAAGTCAAGGTCAGCCTGCCCCAAGGCTCACGAGCTTCTCAAGGCAGCTCTCGAGCCACAGACACTACTACCACTCGTCAACTGTGATCAACGGACAGAGAGCTTTTCAGTTTCCTGTTTTTATTCCTTTCATTTCTTTATTCTCTATGTACTAACATATAAGACACATGGTTAGTATTCATCTAATTTTCTTCTACCTTTCCTGTAACAAGCCACTCACTCTGAGCAGCTTATCAGCTGTTTTCATTTGTTTTAATATTAAAGAGTAAATATTATCAATACTATCTCTAACGTACTTTCATTTTAACACAGTGCCAAAGGGCTATTTTGGATTATTTTGTGGAAAAATAATTTCTACTATATATAAAATGTTTGAGAAGTTGTTCATCCCTTGAATCAATAATTTCTGTAATTCCCTAAAGCCTGCTATATAGAAAGTATTCAAGGTTCAGCAAGTGGTTGTGTACTGACTAAAACCTTTCCTTAAAAATGTTTCAGAAAGTCAAACTCCGGTCAAAGAATTAGGTCCAAGAAAGTCCATTACAATGTTGTTCATGACAGCAAAAACAATTTTCAGTAAAAGGAAGATGGTTATTGAATACAGATATTTCTCATTTAATAATCTACCTGTTTAATAACAGAACTTATGACAGAGGTGCGCTGTTCAGACTTATGACTCATCTGGGATTTTTGGGGGACGGTTCTGTGCACCTTGGATATAGAGCCTTGATGTCTTTTTTGTACAGTACCCCTTGTTTATACAGTAGTATAATTTTTGCTGATAGTACTGTACGGTACTGTAGTTTTATGTTCCGTTATACATTACAGTGCATCATGTAAGTTATGCAAATACAAGCAGAGTCATTAACTTGGAGTTTCCTCTGACTATTTCTTTGTTCTGAATATTGCAATGTACATACTCCACACAACTCATTAAGCTACCAATTCAATTAATGATCTAACTGCAGTACTGGAAATCAGTTGTTAAATGAGGAATATCTGTATTTACACGATGGACTGTTACATAAGCCACTAATAATCAATTATTCAACTATAGGGAAAAACATGATAAATGGGGGTAAAACACCCCTGTCTGATAATATTGTATGTAATAGAGTAAGAATCCAATTATACAAATATATAAGCATGGGAAAAGAACTAAAGGAAACACACTAAAAAATAAAAACTAAGTATCTCTGAACAGTGAGATTATACCTATTTATTTTCATACTTTTGTACATTTTTGAAATTTTCCAAAATATGTGCTATTATTTGTTATTTGAATGAATTATAAATGCTCTCTATAGTTTTGTTTCTCCAGTAGGTGTAATATTTTCTATCTGTCCACATTTCTCACAGGTGTGTTTTCAGGGTGCCCTATTACAGCTTACCATGATTAACTGCCAGAACTTTCCGACTATTCATCTTCACAAAATTTCCGAGGGGGAGCTGGGCATGATCAATCCCATAATCCGATGCTTGTTTATACGTGAATCCCTAAAACAAGGATGCTGGGGCTTAGACAAGAACATTAGACTACTGCAAATTCTATGACAGTATGAATAATTTTTATAAAAAAGTTTTTAGTTCAGAGGGTATTATCTGAAAAAAGTGATGTGTGTGTATGTGTGCAACTGCTAGTTTGGAAACATTCTTTTGACAATTAGAATGTGTAGAGCATTTGTTTTAACTTCTTCAATTCACAAATACTGAGGCCAAATCAATTCTATTCCCAGCCATTTATAGAGGTCCTTAGTGGAAAACTATAAGAAAATCTAGCTCCCTTGCCTTTTGATTAAAGAATGTTTTCTCCATTACCTCCTGCATTTCTCTGTTTAAAATATTCAAATTTAGCTTGGTGTAGTTGCTCAGCACACATAGAAGCCCAGTACTCAGGGAGGCTGAGGCAGGAGGTTCAAAGCAGGGCTGGAGCCCAGCCCTGGCAACTTAGAGAGACCCTGTCTCAAAATACAAATTATCATTTCAAAATTTTAAAAGGCGGCTGTGAAGGTAGCTCAGTGTGAAGGTAGTTCAGTGTGAAGGCCATGGGTTCAATTCCCAGCACTGCAAGATATAAATAAATAACTGAAACTGAATTCTAAAAGAAGCACTATCACTCTTCCTGTGAATATAAAGAAAATTAAGTTTCAATTACTTAACAGTAAGAGGCACAAATGATAAAAACAGATTAATGACAACCTGAATGGAAAAATTTAAAAACTTGACTATAAAAATTTTTCCCCTTTCTGTCAATTAAAAGCTGTTGAACAGGAATTTCATCTCTTCTCAAAAATAAAATCCTTCAAGCCTACATCTAACTAGGACTGACATGGCCAAAAGACAGCATAAAGAAAAGAGAGCTGTATTTCTTATCTACGAGCTTACATACTTAGAGGCAAATAATAGGTCAAAGGAGTGCTCTTGGAAACAAAATTGTGTTAGTTCAGAGAAACACACAAGGTGACAAAAAGTCTGGTTCTGCACATGTCCCAGCTGGAAGCACATCTGAAGGCTTAAATTGAAACTGATTATCATTTTTAAACTCAGCTTCTCGGTCTGACTGTGCACATCTCAAGCTCAAGGCTCAGGGTTCCCCCACGCTCAGGCAGATGCAAACCTCACAGCACTGCAGGAAGCTCTACCCGCACAGGTGGAAGGAACTACTTACTACTCTCCTGACAAAACACGCTTTTTCCTTAGCTGGGGTGAACTCAGCAGGCTGCTGAGTAGCTGACAAAGTACAAGATGATGTCTCCTTTTAAAAAGTGCATTTCCGTAACTTCATTTGAGTAAGTGTGGGATGGGAAGAGAGAAAGGTACAAATATTGTATAAGGGACTAGAAAAACATCTCATGAAAATCTTATACTTAAGAACTGGTATAAGCCAGGTATGGTGGCACATTCATGTAATCCCAGCACTCAGGAGCTGAGGCAAGAGGATCACAGCGAGTTTGAGGCCAGCCTGGGCTCCGTAGTGATTTGAAGGCCAGCTTGAACTACATAGCAAGACCCTGGTTCAAAACAAACAAACGAAAACCTGGTATAAATTTCAATGGCTTAGCAATTCATTAGCGCAGCATCTTGCATCAATAAAGCTGAGTGCTTAAATATAGGGACTTGGGAGCACCTTGCCTTGTTTCAAACAATGTGATCTGTCACCTACCATTGTAGATTTTAAGCTTAATTTCTTTTGGCCTCAGAGTCCTCATCTGTGAAATGAACACAGTAACCTCACTGACCTCACTGGGTTATACTGAGGTCAGGAAGTTAACACCCCTAAGTTCTTTGTGTAACTTGAGGGGTCATTAAAGTAGTAGGTGCTCAATAAATATAAGGAACTGCTGAAATACAAATGTTACATATGTATGAACAAAATAAGAAAACTTAGTAGTACCTTATGATGGTTGTGATCTACCAATCCTCCAATCACATAGGCCTTTGACTCATCTAATTCCTGCAGTACATTAGGGGAATCTGATGTAAGATATACCAGGTCTTCTTTTTTTATGAGTTCACTATAGTGCTCTGGTTTGATGTGGATATCCTTTAAAGAACAAGGCAGAAAACGTTATTTCTTAGGATTTTGTGAAAGTTGGCCAAAAATGATTATCCTCTTTTCCCAAAACAAACCCATATAAAAACATCTGAAAGGAAGTTCGAAAGAATATCACTATAGTATCTTTATTTAAAATATTCTCCTTTAATGCTTATCAGTTTATACTTCAGTTACTTACCAGCCTGCTAGTTTCATTCTGTCTCTGGCCTTAGACCCTTCCAATCTACTTCTACATGTTGATGGTGAACTAATTTCTAAAAATATTACTTTCAATGTCCTTTTTCTGACAGGTAAAATCCAAACTCTTTAACTTAAGCAAATCTTTCCTAAGGCACCTTTACAACTTTATGTGTTTGACCAAAACAAATGCATTTTTAATTCTCTATTTGCTCATACTGGTTTCTAGCCAAGAAATTCCTTCTCCAGTTAATTAATTACTTCCTCTCCATCTGCTGGAATCATCAAAAAGAAACTGCTTATAAATTTAATTTTAAATGTGTCAATTTTTATATGGATACGTATTTGAAAGCTTCTTTATCAAAACCATAAGGTTGGAGGTATAAGATCGGACAACAGTTGGCAGCCAGGATTTTGCAAGAAGTAGGACCAGGCTCAGGTGACTACTACTCAATAATTTTTAAGGAAATCAATAAAGAAATAGATACATAAAATGCATCAGTTACTTATTAATAAACAGCCACTTTTCTGGAAGATAGTATACTATAAATTTTACCCCTACACTTAACAAGGGCCTCAACAGGGTCATAAATAACTAGAGAGCAGTGAATCTTCTCTTTCTCTGGGAAACTGATGATACAAAGTATAAATTGAGCAAGACATAAAATAACTCAAAGTATGCCTATTCTTACTACATTACAGTGGTGGCTCGGTTTATGAATGCTTTTATTTGCCAACCTTTTGGTTTGGCAAAATTTTGTTTTTGTTTGTGAACGTGCATCAGGTAACAAACACAACCATGGCCTCTTCTTTGCACGGATCACAAATGTGGCCATTCTCCCCAGAATCGTGGAACAAATTAAGTTTGTGAACCAAGGTACCACTATAATTCTTAGAAAAAGGCACAAGCATAAAAGATTTGGGCAATACACTGTACTTGTAAACTTAAAAGGCCTTTGAAACTGTTAATATTATAAGTTATTAATAAAATAATATAGCCATAATGGTTTTTGTGTGAGAAGTAAGAATCTGCTACTTCTCTGGCAAGAAGAATCCCTCAGGGGTTGGTCCTGAGCCAGTTTATTTACATTTATGCAAGTGACGGAGAACCGTCAGAGCAAGAAGAAACTATAAGCAACATTTATAATTTAAATCTTCTAGTAGTTACATTTAAAAAGCAGGGGAGAAAACAGTAAAAATAATTTTTTTTTTTTTTTGGTACCAGGGATCGAACTCAGGTCCTTCCGCTTGCACAGCAGGCGGCAAAACCACTGAGCTAAATCCCTGGCCCGAAAATAATTTTAATAATATATTTTATTCATGCCACATGCCCATAATATCACTTAAACATATAATAAATGTTTTAAGTTAGTTAAAAGATTTATCTCTCCCTCTGTCTACCTTCCCCGCTATCCCTGAAATCCACTGTTTCACATTTATAGCACATCTCAATTAACATTTCAGACTATCACATTTCAAGAGTTCAACAGCCACATGTGCCAAGGGGCCACATACTGGACAGCACTGCTTTAGAAGAAACAGAATGCAGACACACTTCCGAATTTTAGTTCTATGTACCATATAGCTAGTTCACTAAGGAGAAAAGCAAAGCCTTTAAAATGTTTCCTTTTTTAAAGCATGTTTTAAAGTTGACAGTAAAACAGCAAGTAAGATTTAATGAGAACAGGTACAAATTAACAGATATTTCATTCTCCAGCTCTTCTGATATATAACTTTACACTTAGGCACAGCCACATACGGGATGTGGAGAGTGCTGTATTTAGTAGCTTTATTTAGAATGCAGGTACAAATGTAGGCCTTTCCACGGGTGGAGATACTTGGGATTACAGGACAGCTGGGCTGTTTCATTACCTTCCAGTTGACCCATCCTTTGTCATTGTCATCCATGTTCTTTTTCAGCTGGCCTCCGTGGCTCGTCAAATAAAACTGGTAAGGGATTGGTAGGCACAGAAAAAGAGAAAATGATCACTTAAGTCCAGTGTTTCATTTCCCTTGTACATGCATTTGATCATCAATGGGGCACAAAATATATTCTCATTGACCTGGAAAAAAAATAATTTGTGGCTACTTTGAGCATACAAGAAATGTGAGGTAGAAATGACATGTTTTGTGGGTGCATCTAAAGGGATGTGGCTCACTGGCACCTCGCTGGCAAGCGCAAGGTCCTGAGTTTTATCTCCAGTACTAGAAGAAAAAAAAAAGACCCACTAACATCAGAGCTCCTCTACATTTAGTCCTACTTTGAAGTCACTGTGATCTGCTCTCCACAATGATCACGTCTCTGCAAACACTGCCTCGAGGACAAGTTTTCACTGTCCCCATTCTTTTTGGCCACCACTGCCATTTTCTTTACTGGTCCAAAGTCTTTAAAATTTTCTTTGATTTTAAACCCAACACTTATTTTAAATCTGATTCACAGGTTATAAGGGGCTGTAGATAAAAATGAGGATTTAAAGACTATCATGGAGGGCCGGGAATTTAGCTCAGTGGTTCTGCCACCTGCCTTGCAAGTGCAAGGTCCCTAGTTTGATCCCCAGTACCAAAAAAAAAGACTATCATGGAAGTGTAATATAACATTATAAAATACAAAAAAATTAAAACTATCACTTGGTAAAAACAAAGTATCTTAACATAAATGAGCCTGTGTTCCCCACCCCTGCTTATGAAACACTTTTCAAACTATGACTGACCCAAAAGGAAACTAAAGTCCTTTATGCAGACAAAACTCATGGAACAGGTACTAGACTATCCACCAGGCAAGGAGGCCCCCGCGCTCCCACCACCCTTTCCCACCTCCCAGCACTGGATGGGATTGAGAGCTGAGAAGTGGAATGAAAACCCATGTACATCCTGCAATGAAGACGTTCAACAAGACGGCGGTGGAAAGGGCACTCTGGACAAGACCGACGATGACTGGGACAAGTGTTCCTGAGAGTGACATGGGAGAAAACGTGTTCAAAGTATTTCTCTTTACTTTTGTAGAAAAAGGAAACATCGTTCAAATATTCATTCAAAATGATGATCCAGGGCTGGGGATTTAGCTCAGTGGTTCTGGCGACTGCCTCACAAGCGCAAGGTCCCGAGTTCGATCCCCGGTACCAAAACAAACAAACAAAAAAAAACCAAAATGATGATCTGCAAAGACAAATGGAACTGTCTACGTTTTTTTGTCATGAAAGATAGAAAAGGAAATGAGGCTCTGTTTTCAATTCCTCAGCCATACCTGCACAGGATGCAGTGCTCTTCGGTTTTCTGCATAGCATCGCTGAATCTGCTTATGAAGTTTCTTAATATCCTATAAAAGTGTTAATTTTTAAAACATGAAATTATCTATGGACATCCCAGGACATTAAAAAAACAAAATAAGCTAAGCACTGGATAGATAGGACAAATTTTGCTTAAGTACTACTCTGATAATTCTCATTGACTTCCTTACATACTAACAGGGTCACTGTAAGTTAATACTCTGTATCTAGCCCACTATTTCATATTTTGTATCCATTTAAAATGCTAGCTCTACGGCCGGGGATTTAGCTCAGTGGTTCCAGCACCTGCCTTGCAAGCACAAGGTCCTGAGTTCGATTCCCGGTACCAAAAAAAACCAAAAAAAATAAAATGCTAGCTCAGGAAAAACATCTACTTAAGAGACAACAAATAAAACTCTTTTAGTGACATATTATTACTGTTTTCATGCTTTACCAATGGCACTGGTAAAACTCTATAGATCTTTATGATTAATATGCAGTTACTGAATTTTATCATCTAATTATGGAATGTATGTGGTCTTTCTCCATCTAAAGATATATAAACACACATACATACATATAAATTGCACGCATATATCAAAGCAATTTATTAACTAATATAGGGAACAGAGATTCTGCTTTCTTTGACTAAAGACGTATTTTAATACATGCATTACAAATTAAAACGAGTGATTCAGCCTTGTTCACCTACTGGAGTTTTGTGACAACGATTCATGATACCTTTAAGACCATCAAATCATCAAAACTACAGTCAATGATAAGGCGGAGTGTGCTATGGACAACTTGTCTTCGAACACGTTTTCTGTCATTTCCATCTGAGTTTGATTCCAGTTGACACTGTCGTTCTAATTTCTTTCTCTTGTGTTTTTCTTTCCGCTTTTGTCTGAAATTAGTAATTGAAATAACTTTTTGTTATTTCTATATTTAGATATTTGTAACACTCTTCTCAATAAAACAACAAAATTACTTTTTAAAAAAGCTGAACCATATGAGATTTGTCACTTCTGTGGCTCAAAAATGGTCAAGTATTAGCAATTCTTTTCAGTTTATCTAGTAGTTTTACAGAGGAAACAAATGGCTTTGCAAAGTAATCTACAGCTTTCTATTTAAATTCTAATGATACTCCTCAACAGTTTCATTTACTGTTGGCATCACACTATGCCTAAGAAAACTTTACAATACTAAATCTGACTATGCTGGATTTTACTTTTTTTTTGGTACCGGAGATCGAACTCAGGACCTTGCACTTGCAAAGCAGGCGGCGGCATCACTGAACTAAACCCTAGCCCTGATGGATATTACTTTCATCATTCATTCCTCACATAGTTTTCAAGCGGTATTCATAAGGTATAAAAAGAAAGAAAAATACTTATTTTTAAACTCACTTTTTCCTACCTGTACCACCTATAGTTTATTTTCTCTTATAAATTTCGGCATCATACAATAATTGCTGCACCCTAAATGTTCTCATAAAAACCCATTCTAGCAAAATCCATGTTAGGCTAAAATCTGATCTGAGTTGGTTATTTTTATTCCATACCTAGGACATACTAACTATATCCCTTATCTAAGTTGTTTCAGAAATGAAACATGTTGAGTGTAAGTTTATCAACACTGCTTAAAGAAAAAGTAATAATTCAAACTACATACAGCTTTAACAGCCAACTGACAGTGTTAGCTAACAATATGGATAACCTCAATTTAATTAGCGCAATTACTTTTAATATATCAAAATGCCATGCAAGGTCCAACATTCCATTACTTCTGAATAGGACAGGGTAAATGTATATATTGAAATACATACTTGCGGAGTTCTCGCTGTTCTTCCCATTGTTTCTGTTTCCTTAGCTTCTTCATTCGTCGTTTAGATACTGGCTCAATCCCTTCATTCACTCTTGGTTTCTGTTTCTCCTCTTGATCTTCACTTAAGTCTTGCTTTCTTTCAGCACCAGAAGTCTCACTAAAATCTAGTAACATTTCAGATGACATTGTTTGTTGTATCTGAAAACCTGAAAAACAATTTTTGACATAAACAGATAATTTACAAACACATAATGTAAAATAACTTGAAATGACCAACAGATGTGATTAATGGCCAACTACACCATTAATAAATATAAATGTTAATTAAAACAACGTCATTTGTTGCCAAAGATCACCTTACTATCATTTAATACCAATTAAATATCAAACATTGGCAATGATGGTAAAGGTCTGAGCAAACAGGATGTTTTCATATACTATTGGTGGTCATCATACAATTTTTTCAGAAAGCAGCAAAATTTTTTGCTTCAAACATTTTTAAACAAAACTTTAAAACACTGACCAAATTATTTTCTTACAATAAATTCCTATGAATCAGCAATGAACATGGAAAATGCACCAGAATATATACACTGTAATGTTATTTTTAGCAATGAAAAGTTAGAAACTAATTAAATGTCAGCAAAAGGAGAGTAAATAAATTATGGTTCATCTATAACAGGCACCAAAAATACTAAGCAATTAAGCGAAAATCATATTTCCAAAATTAATGATAGGGGAAATGGTTATATTTTGAATAAATATATTCATTACTCCAATTATTTAAAAACAATATATCCATTACACCAATTATTTAAAAGGTATACACACAAACATGTTTCAGCCTTACTCATGGTTTTCTTCATTTTCTATTTTACATAATAAAAACACTTTTTGTAAAAGAAAAAAGCTTTTTAAAAAAAAGAGATGCAAGCTGGGCATGGTGGCACATGCCTGTAATCCCAGCTGCTCAAGAGACTAAGCCTGAGAATTGCAAGTCTGAGGCCAGCCTGGGCAATCTAGCAAGACTATCTCAAAATAAAAAGAAAGAGAAGGACTGATGACGTTGTGGCTCAGAGATGAAGCACTCGCCCAGGATAGGCACAGCCATGGTCGGGAAACAAAACAAACGAGAGAGGTGGAAAAGCACCTTTTCTGTAATCTTTAATGCAGCAGAAAGAGGGAAGAATGAACATTTCATTATCTAGTTGTACACTAACAATAGACTTTTAACAAAAGATGCTATGGGATTTACAGATTTTGGACAGTAGACAACACATTTGGTTTTCCCCTCTAGTATATTTCATTGTAAATATATGAATATTTCACTTTAGTCATGACTGAAAAATGAAACATGAAAGTTGATTCTGTAATCAGTCTGGCTTTGTAGAATACTTAGGGTCATCTCAAACATATCTTCGTTTGAATTTAACCACACACATCTTCAAGCCTACTGACTAGAACTCAACTTTGTCTTTAGATTAGGGAAAGACTAGAAATACTGAATTTCTTTTCTCTATAATAAATTATACCAAAGCTTTAAAATATATTTGTTATTTATTCCTACAAAAGCATGATGCTACTAAATGTTTACTGGCCTTAAGAAAAATTCTTTTGAGTTTTCCTTCCCATAGAATTACCTAAATAAATCTGTATACAGAAGCTACTAATAAAAGAAGAAAAATCCCAAAATTTAAGTAATAAGCGGACAAAACCTTTACCGAATACAATTTAAGCAGTAGTTTTATAATATGGTTCTTGCTTTCTTTGAAAGAGAAATGTTGCAATGTGTCAGTACTAATACAGTGGCTAGTATTTAGTTTGATGCTTATTAGATATTGGCAGAACAAATAAATGAGTAAATATGGCAGTACAAAATATTTTTTAAAGTAGTGGAACATTTACTAATTTTTTGTGCTTAATAAAGAATTTATTATCTATTTTAATCTTTAAAACAACTCTGAAAGCATTATGCCCATTTTAAAAAGAATGAAGAGTGAGGCTAAATAACTTGCCTAGAATTACAAAGCTACCAAATAATTCCTAAGAAACAAACAAATCTACCTCAAACAAATATAGCACAAAGTTGATACTCAAAATACATGAATGAAGTAATGGAGTTAAGATTCAAACCCACATCCAACTCTACTAACTGCCAGGACGAAACATTTATTTTAAAACAGGAACCTCAAGGTGCCTCAGAGTCGCGTTGCTTCAACCCTGACGAGAGAGGGCTCTGAGATCTGTGCCACTGAAGCATAAGAAAAAATAGCTCCAGTTCTATTCCTATGGCCCTCGATTAATTTTTTTAAGCTAGAAAATAAGGTTAGCATTCAAGAAATTGGAGGCGGGAGAAACAGCTTAACAAGTTCAGAAGGAAGAAAATTTTATAAAATATATATAGTGATCCCTAGAATCAATTTTATTTTACTTCCTTTCCATACACGGTACATGAAATAAAATTCAGCAACGCATCCAAAACAATACAGGGTGGAGAAGACATACAGCCCCTTAAATTAAAAAAAAACGATTCAGAGGGAAAATGCTCTTTTCATTAAATAACTAATATTTCAAGAAAGCATATTTCTCTTCATTTGTAGCAACATTTATGGCTAGAACAAAAACTGCAAGTGTTGATTAGCTCTATAAGGTTAGTATTTAAAAAGCAGTGTAAAGCAGTATTTTACACCTGCTCTACACCAGGGGACGCACTTGCCTTTCCGATCTAAGAGATGAATTTAAGTTGACCTGTCACAGCATGGTAGTGTTTTTTAACAGCCTATCAAATAGTACAGGTAAAGACCAAAGTAGTTAATTTTTAAAGTTATTCTCAAGAATATGAATTTTACCAAGTGAATTTTCTAACCTTTAAATAAGCCAGTCATTGAGACCAAAGTGGAGTGCAGCAAAAATGATACAAGCTTGATATAAACTACTGTGCACAGTACACTTTACAAAGCCATCTAACAACTCCGACCATCTATGCCATAAACACTTCATGACGGACTTATACGGATTACCTGTTACACAAAATACTGCACTTAACTCAGTATGCTTGCTAATTGCTTTAGTTTGGATCACACTTCAGTCTCTATGCAGTTTTGTCTTCCTCTCTGATATGCATGTTGTCAGAGTACATTTTCATTCATTAAGCCAAATTCAACAAATATTAAAAAACGTATTTTACAGCTATGTTTGTTTGAAATTTTGCTCAAACATAAAATTAACCTGGGACCAGGGCTCATTCTCAGATACAGGTTATCTGGTGGGCTTATGAAACTAAGAACTGGATGAAAATACTAAGGTCACTTTGTGTGAGACGAAGAGGTAGAACAGCCTCTCAAATTCCTTATACGTATTTGTTTCTCACTACAGCTCAAGGCAGGGAGGACACATCCTAAACCAGGAAAGGCCAGAAAAAGAAAGCAGAAGAAAAACCGCAACCAGTTTTACCAAGCGGCCTACAACACACGTCCTGGTCAGTCAGGACACTGCCTGCCCTGCCGGAAGACGCCGCCGGCCGCCGGGCGGGACCAGGGACCCGACCGCGACCACTGCGCGGCCGAATCTGCAGCAAGGAGGGCTGGGCTGGGGGCGAGGGGACGCGATCCCTTTTCTATTTCTCGCAGGAACTGCCAAGTTTTAAACAGGCATTTCGTAAACTGCAGCACCTCCTCATCCTTCCTGAAATCACTCTTGCTCCACGTTGTGGGCCCCAAGAAGGAGGAGAGCGCCAAGTGGTACGGCGCGACTCGCGCTCTGCCCTCCGCCCTCCGCCCTCCTGAAGTCCTCTACGGAATTACATTCTTCACAGGCCACGGAAAGCGTTCTCAGTGCAGGGACAGAGCCACGAACGCCGTCACTTCCACGCCTCTCGTCTGCGTGCGCAGCCCAGAGGCGGGATTAAACCGCAGTACACCAATCAGAGGCGGGCGGGGGTGGGCCTTGAACGTCACTTCCCTCCGGAGCAAGATGGCTGCAGCTCTTCACTCCGATCCACTGCCCTCTACCCCGGAAACCCTTATTGTCAGTGGACGGCGGCATGCATGTTCCCCTTTTGCCCCGAAGGATACCAAGGAGAAACCAAGCCAGAGAACCAAGAGATTTACCGATCTTAGGAATGAATGGGAAATGTACAACAAGCTCAGAAAGCCTTCCTGAAGTGGTCTTGATCCCGCTCCCGAGTCTTCCTTCGGAAACTTCAACTCCCAGAGGCAGAGGCGGAAACTCCTCTTTCGAGATTTGGGCGACTGCTCCTGACGTCATCGCCCTGCGCAGACGCCGGACTCCGTAGGGGTTTTTTGAGGGGGCGGGGCCTGAAGGTGGGGTTTACGTACTGAGTGGAGATGGCGTCTTGGGTTTGGGGTCTGGGCTGCAGTGGCGTTGGTTTTTTCCCCGTCAGGAGGTGAACGTCCGCCTGCGGGCGTTTGTTCGTTCGTGTGTCCGAGTGGGAGAGGGCAAGAGCACTAAGATGTTCCGGCTCTTAAAAGTTAAAAACGCGAAGCACACGGAAGGGTCAATTCTTCAGTTGAAGGCAAGAAAACGTTTCCTGCCAAATCGTTTCTGGTTTATACGGAGAAAAGAGTACCAGTATCCATGAGTTGACCTAACTCAAGGGGAAGATTTAAGGAGTCAAATTCAAAATAAATGTACATTTAAAATTTGGTGTTTCTAAGTCTTTTTGTGGCTTAAATAACAGCTGTACACGTCGTCCCTTCATTCTTGAGCAGTTTTTCCAGTGCTTTTTTGCAAAACATTTAAGTGACGTTTCATTGTTTGCAACGCCTGACCTTATGTAATCTTTTGCTATATATAGACCAAGTCAACTGAGAAAGAAATGAAACACAATCCTGTAGACTCCTTTCTGTTTGGTTTCTCATTTGGCCATATTTCTAACAGGTCATTATTGTAGAATTTGAAGATAAAAATAAGTTTTGAATCTTTGAGTAAAAGTCTATTCAGTGTAGAAGACATTTGAGCATGTTTAGAGGAGTCCGTGAAAAGAAAATTAAATTCATAATTTGAGAGTCTCTAAAAGAATTGAAACTAATCAAAACTGAAATCACTCTTGCTTTAAACTCAAATTTTATTTGAAAAACTATGTGAGCTGTAACACTTGTAGGTCCCCCTCTGTTTCTACCTCATTTCAAATCTAAATGGTCTCACTTAATTGAGCATTGGCAATGAAGTCTGGATCCATTTCTGATTTATTAGTAGGGCATCTTTTTTCAGCTGCCTCCATATCAGGGCAGAGTAGCTGAGAGAGGATTAGTAATTGGATATGTAGCCCTTCACATGTAGGTCATTAAATTCAGGCTGGCACAGTGATGTACCAGATCTCAACAGCTGTTCAGTTGGTCCTGTGGGATCTGAATTATAAATAATTACACATTTTTGAGAAGTAATAACCTGGCATCCTTAGGTATTTAGACAAATTTTAAGTTACAAAGAAATCCTTACATTTTAATAAGGGAGTCAAATTCACTTTTGACTTAGCCATTTTATAGTCATATGGTCAAAATTTTTAAGATTCTAGACTCAATCTAGAGTCACCAACAAAACAGCGTCAAAAAAATTTGTTTCGCAAAAGATTAAAACGTATAAAATGTTTAAGGTGAAATCATGTGATACAAAAATCCTCATTGACGTGTAAAATTCATGTTTATTAAATACATTTGGTAAATTTGATGCTTCTTGTCTTACTACTTCTCTTACTACTGGTGATACAAAGATGACTGAATCATTATTCCTATCCTTAAGAAATCCTTGGTCTAGTGGAGCCAGAAGTAAATAAATACTATCCAATATATAATGTAGTTGGAATCCTGCTAGCAAAACTAACTGCTTCTTGAGGCAGAGGACATAGTTTAAGGTACTTAGTAATTTTGATCCATCTTGGAAAGTAAATAGTTTTCCATATGTCAGGAAGGGAAAGAGGTTTAAAACCTTGGCCACAATGACAGCAAAGAAGTGGCAGATATATAGGGTGAATAGTCTAGAGAGCTGATGCACACCATGAGGGCTGTCAGTCATGAAACTGTTCTATAGATGGCGTTCATATTAAATGAGTACATTTTAGTTGCTCTTGCCACAAAAAAAAAAAATAAAAAGGAGGTAAATGAGAATGTGTCAGTTTACTTGTATGTGCCCCATAACATCATGTTGTATGCTTTTAAATACACAAAATAAAATTTATGTAAAAAATAGAAATAAAGTATCTGAGTTAATCACAAAAAATACCAAGCAGCTTAAAAAAAACTCACTATTAACCACATGCAGACAGTTGGCAGCCAGTTAAATTGGACTGCAGACTGTCAAACAAGAAGAGGTTACAGATAGAATCAAAATGGAAGGACACACAAACAGGAGAATAAACACAACTCAAACTCTCAAAACTTCTCCATATGTTTAGCCATATTGGGCAATCATCACAAATTCAACTATTGTAAATTGAATCCTGACTAAGTCTGAGCGTATTCTTCAAGTGGGAGTGGGGAGGTGGGGGCGTGGCAGAGTAACATTTGTGGGTATGTTAATTTCAGACTAAGCCAAAAAAGAACATGACATTTTAAAACATGACCTGAAAGGTTTCCAAAAAGAAGACTCAGCTTCTCATCTATATTCATTTTGATGTGCATTTTGATTGACTTTAAAAATAAAGTTTAACCCGTGTGTGTGTGTGTGTGTGTGTTTCCAATACTAGGGATTAAATCCAGGATCTTTGCACGAAGCTACATCCTTAACCCTTAAAAAAAATTTTTTTTAAATTATTTTGAGACAGAATCTCACTCAGTCACTAAGTTACCCAGCTGGGCTCAACCTTGCACTCCTCCAGCCTCAGCCTCCCAGAGGGCTGGGATTTCAGGCATCTGCCATCATGCCTGGCTTAAAATGTATTTTAAATTATCCTTCCAAGTAATACATTAGTATTGAAGACTCTAGGAAGATGACTGGGGAGGTAATGTAGTCTCTGAATCTCCAGAATACCCTAATGAAAACAGAACCCCTTGGATAGCCAAGCGACAACAACCCCCTTCCTGATCACAAAGTAACTAGGTTAAAAAAAATAAAGAATACTGAACTTCACAATATGAGCAGGTGGGAAGAAACTAACAATAGCATCTTTGTGGGAGAAAAGGAAGGGAAAGCAACAGAACATTGGAAGGCCCTGAGAATGGGAGGACCCCAGACCTGCCAAATATTTGCTGAAAAGCAGGGGAGAACAATATGAGATCAGGAAGTCACTGACTCTTAAGATCCGAAAATGTAAGTGTAAGGGATGAGCAGGAAGTTCTAAAGTCACCAGAGTGATGGGTCATTTAGAAACTGAAACTCAACCAACTGGTGCTCCATTCTTAGACCAAGCCCAGGATTAAGGAGAAACTGCTAGGAATGGATTTCAAATTGCAAAGGATGGGGACCATAGAGGCAGAGGGAAAAAGCAGGTCCCAGTGAAAGTGGAAGAGGAGAGAGAAATATGTGTCATTTTATAAAAGTATCAGAAAATGGATCTAGAAGCCTGAGGCCAGAGAAGCTATCCTCACTTTTTCCTAAACATGCAGAATGACTTACACCACGGAAAAGGATTGTGGTTGAATTCCATTTAGGGTAGTAATAAAAAAGGGGCAATGAAGCAGAAGGGAAAGCAGATGAAAAACTGTACCTAACATTTCAAAACAAATTTGAATAAATTTCTAAGTGATGGATGATATGAAAGAAACCAAAACTCAAAAAAAATGACTCAAGAAAAGATTTTTCTAAAAGAGTAGCAACTCAGAAAACAGTATGAAGATATAAAAGGGTGCATATATATTCAACGTTATACTGGAAGTCCTAGCCAGTGCAATAAGATAATGAAAGGAGAGAAGAAATAACTGTTTCCAAATCACCTGTGGCTGTCAAAAAAAAATCACCCCCAAACCCTTGCTAAACTAATGAGCAATTAGAGCAAAGTTAGGATACAAAGTTAATATACAAAATTCAATTGTTATCCTATATACCATCAATGCATAATTGGAACTTGAAACTGAAAACAAGATCCCCAAGAAAAGAAATAGGTATAAATCTAATAACATTTGTACAGGATCTATATAAAGAAAGTTTAAAAAGCTTGATGAAAGAAATAAAATTACCACCTAAAAACTTACCTATCAAAGCGCAAGAAAAAATATCCCAGAAATTCCAATAAAAGAGCATCTGAGAAAACACCAACCAGCATTACTTGAAGCTGCCCCAGCCAAGAGGAGCCTAAGGTGCCATGAAGGCAGCGTGAGGTGTTGTGCTCTGGATGGGATCTCCAGCTACAAACAAAGTAACCTAAATGAAATATGATTTTTAATCAACAATAAGTCAATATTGCTTTATCAATGTTATCAAATCTGCCACACTAATATAAGATATTAACAATAGAGACACTGGGTACAGATTACATGAGAAATCTTTA